TGTTATTCCGGGACAAGCCGAATAGCTTACGGAAAGGGGCGAGTGGTGACGAATGGCGCACACCCACCCACACAGCCATTGCTGTCCTCCCATAATAAACACATCTACCACCACATCCACTCAAACCATCAACCCCGCCACCCATCACCCCTCCTCAGAATCATCCCACCAACCACTGTCGCACATCCCATTACTGAACCACCCCAACAACCACAACCACACCAACACTATAGCTACCTCCACCCCTACCACCTTCACCTCATCTTACCCAAGCAAAATCATCCCTTACCCAGCCTTTCTCGTTCCCTTCACATCAACCCTCACATTCCACCTTCACTCCACCATCCACTGTCTCCCCTACCCCCAACGATCACAACCACCACCACCATATCCACCCCAACCCTGGAATTAGGACCGAGGACTATCAGTGTTTATCATTGACCCTGATAAAAGTTGGCGTGACGCCAACTTCAAGTATACTCAATTCTCGGGTAATGCAAATACAACATTGTAAACCAAAAAGTTACTGTGTTCTATAATCTGCTTGGTTGAAAAACATGATCGAATGGTATTCGATTCCGGGGAAATTGCAAGACCATATTAATACGTACAAACACATGATGTTTATCTCCTAATTGTCGGCGTAACGTCAGTTCCAATCTGCAAGGAAGGAGCTTTCTCTAGGATAATCTTTCCTCGGGAAATTAACTTCACAGTAAGTTCACACGTCCCCGATAATGGTATCACATATGACTCATTAATATCTTGCCACTATCATTGTTTGACAGATTTTATCTCTCTTACAGTATTTGCTATATGTAACTACTGGAGGCTAATAATCATCCCACAAAAATATTACGAACCTCTCGAAAACTAATGGAGAACTAAATGAGTGAGTTTAGTTTTACGCCGCACTCAGCAATATTCCAGATATATGGCGGAGGTCTGTAAATGATCGAGTCTGGACCAGACAATCCAGTGATCAGCAGCATGAGCATCGATCTACGCGATTGGGATCAATTTATTGTCTGGCCTGATTATTTACAGACCGCCGCCATACAGCTGGATAATTTTACAGGGTGACCTGTTGCCCTGTCAGACACAATGTCATATGTAACTAATATACTTGTAAATGTATAGCAAGGACAAATAAGGGAATGGGTGACAGTGCCAACTGCTCAGACAAATAATGAGACATTCATTGATTATGTGTGACGGCGGGGTAGCCTAGTGGTTAAAGCGTTCGCCCGTCACGCCGAAGGGTTTGAGTCCCCACATAGGTACAATGTGTGAAACCCACTTTTGGTGTCCCCCGCCGTGATATTGCTTTGATATTGCTAAAAGCGGCGTAAAACTAAACTCACTCATTCGTTGATTGTGTAATCTATATTAGATCACTGAAGGTTCAAACGAATCTTGATCAGATATGCTACAGTTTGTATGATTTTAATCTTGAAATTCATAATAAATGAAACTAAAGCTGGCCATTGCCAAAGTTATCAGAAGGATCCAGAAGGGGGTTGGGGCTGCCCCCTGAAAGTTTATTAAATGACCATTAAAACTCTCGTGAAAATGAAGTGTGCACCCCCACTTTCTCAAGTGTGCATTCCCCCTTACTCAAAAAACTGTATCCACCCCTGATACAACACGCATTACATGATCCCTGGAAATCGTCTTTATCGTCCCAGTCAATGTATGCATGTATTTTTGGAACTGACTTGAGCTACGAGAATAGTGTTGCATCGTTCAATATCAGAACTTGCTGAGAGACTAACTTGATATTCCGTTGTTATGAATTTCAAATATTTTATTTCGATACTTTCAGGAAGTTCCCTCTTTTCCCAGTGGTTAATGTTTGTATGGAGAATTTTGGTTTGTTGCCATGAAATATGGTTGTCGGGATTTGTGATGAGGTGATCCGAAAGGGCAGATTCCATGTCAGATTTGAAATAATGAAATCTAAAGAAAGAAGCCAGCCATCCACCGGGATCAAGGCATCCCCCATCCCAGTGTCTACCCCATATTTATACATTGTTATTTTTGTGCATTTATCCTATCTAATTGGCTTCGTGGTTATATTGTTTTATTTGTACATCAACGAACCTTGAAAGATAGAGCTGAATGTATATGTAAAGTTAATTTATTATAACGGGTAAATGACTAATGGAATTAATCCGTCTCACTGACACCACAGGTTTTACAACGAAAGTACTGTGATGTTTGTTGTTTTGTCTGACTGTGATACACATGAAACATTTTGTAATTATGAGATTCTTTAAAAATTGTCTACTATGTCGAAAATGTACACATCTAAATGAAATATAATTACTAAAACGAAGATTACTAAAACATTATTGACATCATCAAGTAAATGCAATATCATGAAAAGAACTGGTCATAGATTAAAACCGCTTGGCCAAAGACTAAAGGACTGATAACAGGATCCTTTACTGATAACCTCTGAATGCCCCCAGGTTTCAGTCTCGTCTGTGTGCTAAATATAGCTTTATTACCTACAGAGGATAACGTACCTTGTTGCTTCTCACACGGAGAAACTGCCTTTCCCGGGAAGTACTCCGGATGCAATCGGCACAGTTAAAACTGTATATCGAGCGTTCTTGGAAGCAGTTCTTCAATAAATCTTCAGGCGAGTCGACACGACCATGTGCACTGTTGAGTAAAACCACTCAGCCTTGGTCATAGGCGCTCGACTCTGATCGGGCGCCTATGCCTTGTGTCACCATTCAAGAGTGAATGAGTGAGTCTAGTTTTACGCCGTTTTAGCAATATCCCAGCAATATCACGGTGGGGAACACCAGAAATAGGCTTCACATATTGTACTTATGTGGGGAATCGAACCCGGGTCTTCGGCGAGACTAGCGGACGCTTTAACCACAAAGCAATCCCACCATTCAGGATTCCACAGTGCGCTTTTGCTACTTCTTTGATACATCTACTCGTATCCAATTTCTGCAGATCGATGCTCATGATGTCAATCAAAATATTATTTGGTTCCGATCAATTGTTACAAACCGCCGTCATGGAGCTGGCATAGCGGCATTAAGTGACAAGCAACACTATAAATTCAAGAGTGATTGACTATGGTTTTACGCCGCTTCTGGCAATATTCCAGCAATATCACGGCGGGGGAAACCTGAAATTAGCTTTACATATTGCAACCATGTGGGGAATCAAACGATGAGCTTGAAAATATTTCGCTATAACGTTCGTTCTGGTTTGGAGCCCCCAAAACTCCAGTCTATCCGAAAATTTGCCAAATACAACGGCAAATGATGAAGTACCTATTTCGTTCAATGTTTTCGGCATCAGACTCGCTGTTTGTCAGTCGTGTGTGCCGTGCAAGTATTCTAATTGGCTGACATGATGTCATTTAAAGAATAGGACCGAGCACCAGGACTAAAAGTAGGGAAAACATGTGCCCTTGTTTATATTACCCGGACCTTATCGCCATGCACGCCCATTCATGTGTGTCCTCTAATCCCAGGTAATCTCCTGTTGGATGCAGGCAAACTGGGGGTACACTACATATACATTGTCCTGACTAGTACTTCATAATTCACCAGTTTTGGGGGCATTAAAGGGACCGTTCATAATTTATAGCTGGGGGTGGGGGTGGGGTGGGGTGTGTGATGATGATGATGGGAAGCATGCACAATGTGAATGACCCTCCCTAAAATCTAAGTACAAAATAAGTGAAACCCCCCCTCTGCATGTCATGTACAAAATCAATGACCCCCTCCCCAACTTTCAACATAATTTTAAACATAATGTTAAGTACAAAATTGCTGACCCCTCTAGTACATGTGTGCAAAATTGCTGACCCCTAGCTCCCCAGAACAAAATGGGTGAACACCCCCACCCCACCCCTTTAAATCATCATCGCCCCTCTAGTCATAAATTATGAACGGTCCCTAATTAACTGCATTGCTTATATTATCTCTGCGCGACCAGGCTGGGATCTTGTAGGGAGACTTGATAATTTATTAATGAGAACTAGGATCCTAATTTTTTTCAAGGAAATAATTCCTTCAACAGTGGAATTTTTGTAGCGACCTATTTCTATTTCCTCCCGTCTGAAGCATAATTATTGATTAATCCCAGAGTCCCTGCAGTCACCAATTTAACACAAAAGGAACTGCAATCACATTTCACTGGTCATCTATTATTGGGGTGGGTGTGCTGGTTAGAAGTTTGTCTTGCAAGATGTAAAATCGGGTCTACTGGCACGGTCTAACATCCATGTCAGAAATGGCATCAGGCACATCTTTTACTGCTTCAGAATCCGTGGTCGCTGTCAAGTTGTGAGGTAAAATCAAAGATAAAGCCATCAGCAATAGGCACATATGACGTCACATAAGGCGCTAAGATAGTCGTAAGTTAGTATGAATGGCACTTACGACTATCTTAGCGCTAAGAGAGCTTCGAAAATCTTGGCCCAGGCGTTTCCGTAATAGGCGCAAATACGAGTACGTTTTTTATTCGTCAATTCCGATCTTACAAACATTTTGTTCAATTTTAATCACGTAAGGTGACTTTAACAATGCCTTTACCCCTATGAAAGTTAATATTTTGGTATATTTTGGGTAACCATAATTAACACCCCTGCACATGGCTCTTATCACAACACCTACTTCATGTTGATGTACTTATTTGGTTCCTTTTCCATGGACAAATATGAAATTGAGAATACATCATTACATTTAATGCATCATAATGGATTAAGAAGGCCAATGCATATTACATTATGCTGAGCTTAAAAAAGGTTATCACTAAATCAAAACATGTTTTAAAGTAATATCTATGATAACACATAATCAGTAAAACCAAGATATAAGCAGTTGTTAGACACACAACTTTGCAATACAAATACATTAAAACACTAACACTAAAATTCCCCAAATTCTAACAACAAATATCATGTGGTGAGTGCTGATGGCATATTTGGGTGCCATGAACATCCTCCTAAACTATACAAAGACTGGGTAAAGGAGGCTTTATTACATGCTAATATCCACATAGGGAGATGGCTAAATGCCAAACAAGCAAATTTCTACACCTGATGATAAATCCGATATGCCACCCCAGGGAAATATGTAACTCCAATTATGGAAGGTAACAAAAAGAGTCTTGCTTCATCTGTATCTTATCAAAAGTCTGATTAGATGATCAACTCCATCCTCGTCAATCCAAGGTGTTTCACTGAACTTTGCAGGGTGGGTCAAGGTCAGCTTGCTCTGAAATGGCAAAACCTGAGTGAGAACAACGTTTTTAAACCATTTATGGATATTTTTTGGGTTAAATTGTGGAAATGGAAATGTGGGACCTAATAATGTTTTACCTTATTTGGCACTGTGTTATTGGTTGACCTTGTTATTTGAAATATGCAGTAATGATTCAAGTGCAGGTTATACTGAATTTATACAAGACTGTTCATTAAGTATATACAGCAAGCAAACCTATGGCACGTTTTGTATTACATATGGGTCTTGTAGAAATTGAAGATTGTTCATACAGTGCAATGTATCAAATATGTTTCTTAAATTTACAGTCATAATGGTTTCTGACAGTATCCACAGATAAAATTCCCCCAATCATTTGAATTCTTTTCTGAAACTGGCTGGTTAAATTGAAACAAATATGTCCGACAATTAAAATATAATTGGCTCTCACAGTGGAACCATGACTAAGATCAGACACAGTTGTTGACATTCATATTGTTGCTTGGTGACACTGCCATGACAACTGAGACTGTCTTACCTCTTTTGGCAAGTCTGCGTTCAATGTGGGTGTCACAGAGAGGACATATCTCGGTGATCAGGCAACACTGTCGACACAGGACCTTGTGGCCGCATGGCATCAGGGTTATGTCCGCCATCTTGTCCATGCACTTGGCACATGGGAGATGCATATCAAACAATGTACTGCCCATCCGGAACCTTGCCCCAAGCCCTTGTTGGCTGGAGGGGGTGGAACGCTGGATAGAACCCTGACTGGAAGATGGTACAACCAATGGTATAAATTAGTTTCAGTGTGTACCAACATAGTCATATAAATTTTCCCAAAGTTTCCTTTATCTTTTTAGAGCAAGAGCACAAATAATCAAGCCAGTCTCTTGTATTGATCATACTGAGTGTGTGAATTTTTAGAGTACTCCGGGTATGTCATCCAGGGTAGACCAGACAAACTAGTGGTTGACAGAAATTATCCATGTTGTCAGGATATGTTGAGCTATTAGTTGTATCCAATAATCTGATAATTTGATGTTTTTTATCACCTAATACAACTGGTATACTGGGAACCTATTCTCCCATCAGTTCTCACGAAGAACTGTATGTGCCATGAGGGATCCTTTTTTGCCCTGAAAAGCCCCTGTGAGACATGCTTGTGGTACAGGGACCTCTTCTTCCCAAGAACCCAAACAGGGAGGTAAGCATGGGGCATGGGGACCTATCATTTCCCAGAACCTTAATGGGGACACAAGCCTGGGGTACAGTGACTTATTCTTTTCCAGAATGAAAATACAGAGACAATTGTGGGGTACTGGGACCTAATACTTTCCAGAACCCTAATGCAGACCTTATCATCACCAGAACCAAAATGTGGACACAAGCGTGAAGTTCAGGGACACAAGTGTGGGGTGAGGAGACCTATTCTTCCCGAGAAACCTTAAAGGGACACAGACATTGGGAACACTGGGACCTAATCTTTTCCGGAAACCTAATGCAGACACAAGTGTGGGGTACAGGGACCTATTCTTCCCCAGAACACTACTGGAGGCACAAGTGTGAGGTGCAAGGACCTATTCTTCCCCTGAACCCTACTGAAGACACAAGGATGGGGTGCAGGGTCCTATTCTTCCTCAGAACACTACTGGAGGCACAAGTGTGAGGTGCAGGGTCCTATTCTTCCCCAGAACACTACTGAAGACACAAGTGTGGGGTACAGGGACCTATTCTTCCCCAGAACACTACTGGAGGCACAAGTGTGAGGTGCAAGGACCTATTCTTCCCCTGAACCCTACTGAAGACACAAGTGTGAGGTGCAGGGTCCTATTCTTCCCCAGAACACTACTGGAGACACAAGGATGTGTGCAGGGACCTATTCTTCCCCAGAACACTACTGGAGGCACAAGGATGGGGTGCAGGGACCTATTCTTCCCCTGAACCCTACTGAAGACACAAGCATGGGGTGCAGGGTCCTATTCTTCCCCAGAATACTAATTGAGACACAAGTGTGGGTTACAGGGACCCATTCTTCCCCAGAACACTAATGGAGACACAAGCTTGGGGTACAGGAACCTATTCTTTCCAAGAACACTAATGGAGACACACGCATGGGGTGCAGGGACCTATTCTTCCCCAGAACACTAATGGAGACACAAGCATGAGGTGCAGGGACCTATTTTTCCCCAGAACACTACTAGAGACACAAGCATGGGGTGCAGGGACCTATTCTTCCCCAGAACACTAATGGAGACACAAGCATGAGGTGCAGGGACCTATTCATCCCCAGAACACTAATGGAGACACAAGCTTGGGGTACAGGAACCTATTCTTTCCAAGAACACTAATGGAGACACACGCATGGGGTGCAGGGACCTATTCTTCCCCAGAACACTAATGGAGACACAAGCATGAGGTGCAGGGACCTATTTTTCCCCAGAACACTACTAGAGATACAAGCATGGGGTGCAGGGACCTATTCTTCCCCAGAACACTAATGGAGACACAAGCATGAGGTGCAGGGACCTATTTTTCCCCAGAACACTAATGCAGACACAAGCATGGGGTGCAGGGACATATTCCTCCCCCAGAACCCTACTAGAGACACAAGCATGGGCTGCAGGGACCTATTCCTCCCCCAGAACCCTACTAGAGACACAAGCATGGGGTGCAGGGACCTATTCTTCCCCAGAACCCCAACAGGGAGAAAATCACCTGGAACAGGGACCGGACCTTTTCCTTTCTCATTCCCATACCAATGAGCACAGGTAAATGGTGAACAGACTAGGATAATGTTTTGGGTTAATCTGATTCAAACCCAAAAATACTTAACATAAGTTTATAATCACTTTTGTCTGATAAACAGCTGCACTGCCTGACGAACTGTGGGACTCTTGGCAACCTCGAGTGGTGTGGCGCCCCTATTGTTCTTTGCATCTACGATGGCGTTCTTCTGCAGCAGCAGACAAGCCAGGCTTCATCGCAAGCGTCTCGCCGTCCCTACGAGCCGTCAGTCCAAGTAGTGCAGCCAACTGAAACACGGGATGATTTGGGCTTTGATATGCAAGTATCAACTTGCTGTATTACGCCCCTGTCAGTAATACTCTGGTTGTACCAGGTCAGGTCTACATCAGGCAAAACAGGGGCATCTCGAATGATCACTGTCCCATTCCATATGGGTCCAGTACAATGAAGTCAACCAAATCAAACAGCATGATGGACCTAGGACCATGCCAGACCCAAAATCTCTACATATAAGAGTTATTTCACAGTAATAAGGTTCATTGTTAGTATTGCTCGATAGGTGTGATGCTTGTGTTCACCCATTGTTCATTCAGGGGGTAACCTACACAAATGATCAAAAAAAACCTATTGTTCGAGAAGTGTTTTGTTGGTGGCATGTGCATGTACAACATATCAAATATGTTTGGTAAACTGTAATAACAAGAATCTTATTCATGTCTGAATCAATAATCATTACCATATTTGTGAATAAATTTCAAGCTAAGAAATCTGATTATTGGACTGTCATTCTTAGATGGAATAAAGATTCAAAGCCTCTATAATATGTTTAATGTTATGAGTGAGTGAGCGAGTATGGTTTTACGCCACTTTTAGCAATATTCCAGCAATAACACGGCAGGGGACACCAGAAATGGGCTTCAAACATTGTACTCATGTGGGGTATTGAACCTGGATCTTGGCGTGACGAGCGATCGCTTTAACCACTAGGCTACCCCACCACCCCCTTAATGTTATGACCATGCGCTAGATTGAGAACCCGATTCACAAAGTAGTCAAATAGCTACAACAATCATTACTCCTACCCTTTAACATGGACCCACTATAGTAGTAGTGATATGATCACATTATGGATCAGAGAATTCCACCTTTGCACAGAAACAAGCCTGAAGTGCATGCATAGCGCTTCAGTAAAATGTATGGCTAGTGTGTTGAAACTATAACATATTCTAACCAGACGATGTTCTGTACCGCCTCCTGTAGATTTGTCTGCACCCAAGGTGATGTGTAAAGCTGTGTTGCCACTCACATCCTTCAAATTGGGGTCAGCACCTGCATCAACATAAACATGGTCGGTATGCAGGAATCAGTCAAATGGATGATTTAATGTTGATTTATGACACAGGCAGTGATGACTATAATCAAGTAAGATATACCATCATCTCGATGACAAGCAATCAAGCAAGTCACGGCCTGACATATCACTACTGAACAACAAACGCAGATATTCTGACACGGAATCACCATAGAGGGAGTGAGAGAGTTTGGTTTTACTCTGCTTCCAGCAATATGACGGCATGGGACACCAGAAATGGGTTTCACACATTGTACCCAGATGGAGATTCCACTCCCACCCGTGTCTTTGGAGTGATGAGCGAACGCTTTAACCACTAGACTACCCCCCCACCCCAATCACCATAGAGACAAGTACAATATGCACATTTTGATATGAATCACAGGTTACTCAAGGGGAAGTTCAATAAACTTCGTTAAAATGGGGTTTACAGTTTACATTTGTCTGAGACATCAAAATCAACCGGAATGCATTTCGAGTGTCCAGTTATGTGTAAGTGTACTTTTTGTAACAAAGAGTTGAGGTAATAAAGGGGATACCATGTTCTGTGATCAATGACACCACAACCTGAAGCACTGTGCAATGGTAGTACCTTTCTCCAAGAGCAACTCTGCTGTCCTGTATAGAGCCTCATGACATGCCAGGTGGAGGGCTGTGGATCCATTAGCACCCTGGATATTCACCTTGGCCTTCCCCTATCAACACAAAGTGTGTACTGGATCCGGATGTATCATTGCTTCATTAACTAATGTCAACATTAAACTTAATGATACATTAAATCCTTAATGCATCATTAGTTAATGGCATTATTAAAAATGGTTGTATCAAACACTTATTAGCGTATCATTATCTAATGACGTCCTAATGTAAATATTTTCATTAAATTTGGGGATTCCCCTAAATATATCCCTCAATTCAACATGAACTTTTCTGAAGTTAATGACGCTCTAATGATACCCCAGAACCTTCATTATGTTAATGACGCGCTAAGGACAACATGACGTCACTAAAACCTTAGTACAACAGATTTTAATGACACAATTTACTTAATGAACGTTTAATGGCACGTTAATGCTTCATTAAAGTTTGATACAACCGGGCCCTGGTTACAGTGAGTCAGGTGAGTTTATCACCACTATGATCATATTCATGTTATATCGAGACCTACATAAGGCGGATCCTGAGGGGTGGCACGGTGTTGAATATTCCAAAAACCAGAAAGTGCACACTGCATACTAATCCTAAGTCTCACTACTGCCAGAAACGCTCATAGCAAGCACAAGGGCAAGGTGTCTATGGAGTCAGTCATCCAGTGAATCTAGCAGCTATGGCCTTAAGGTCCCAATGAGATTGATAACTCGAGCTACAGTGAGCTCCAACACAGCCTGGTGTAGTAGCAATGCTAGCATGTACACGCACCACTCTATACACATGACACTATGTGCATACTCATCCACACACACAGGACATATCATCACATACATTTCAGGAACATTAATATGTACACACTCGGCTGAGTGAAAGTCCAGTAATGTTGGCCCGAAAGTCTTTTAAATGTCAGTTGCCTTACATGTGGGACATCACAAAAGCCATCATGTTAGTTATAGATCAACTAACTATAACTAATGTTTTCCATGTCAGTAACAAGCTGGTCAATCAATTGTAACAGGAGGATGCTGTTTCCGGTCCTCAGGTCCGCAGGATTCAGGGGTTTAAAGTCATAATGACAACCAAACACAAGATTTTGCAAACCAAATAAATTTATTTCCAACTCAACTAATATATGTCATAAAATCAACAATAAACTAAGTTAAATAAACAACAAAAATAATAATGCCTCCAAAGATCCTGTGAAAAGTGAAAACCCTATTAAATATACCTATACTATTGCCCCTTATCCCAACTTAATTCCCCAAAATAATGTTCCCTGCAAAATACAACAAAAATTAACAACCTAACATTATCTAACCAAAACTTAAGAAACTTAAAACACTGTTTGCCTAGTTTACAGAAACAATAGGGAATTTCACACCTTACTTGCCTCTGTAAGACCCCAGAGTGCAGAGGAAAAAATAATCTGCCCTTTTATACCCCTAACCTATAACTCTTACCCAATAAAATCCATGCTCTGAAAAATACCCAATAAATGCCTACAAAAGAAAAGTTCAGTGGACTGATCCCTCTGCTCATGAGATGCACATGCACTGGCACATCCCATTGCATAACAATGGGGAAGAAGCATACTAGGCACTTGCCTAGCGGGTCCTTACCCCTCAAGAGCTAATGGACCAGCCCACTGAAGGCTAAGCCTGGTGTGTTATTTTTAGCCCAGCCTATGCCTAACAAGTCCCCACCCTAAAACAAGCCTAATTTCTACTAAAAAAATAACTCTACCATTACACAATATTAGCCTACCATGGCAAGGTCAAAGCCTTAGATGTCAATAAAAAACATGATCAATGTTCCAAAGCCTTCCATCTCAGTAACAGTATCTGGTCAGTTTCTAATTCCAAGCACCATGTCAGTCTTCAAACAGTCTACCACATCAATTACATGTCTTGCCAATCTTCAAATGCTAACCAAATCAATGAAATGTGTAGGTCAGTATTATCAAAAGCCAATCATATCAACATTAGGGTCAGTTTGCAAAAGCTTACTATGTCAAAAACAAGTAAGTCTTTTCTGGTCTACTATTTCTATAAAATGTATGGTCAATTTTCAAATGCCAACCAAATCAATAAAATCTGGTCAATCTTCAAAAGCCTACCATAATCTGGTCAATCTTCAAAAGCTTACCATGTCAATGAAATCTGGTCTTTCTTCAAAAACCAATCATGTCAATGAAATCTGGTCATTCTTCAAACCTACCATATCAATGAAATCTGGTCAATCTTCAAAAGCTTACCATATCAATGAGATTAGTCAATCTTCAAAAGCTTACCATGTCAATAGTGTCTAGTCATTCTTCAAAAAGCATACCATGTCAATGAGAAGTCTGGTCAATCTTCAAAAGCCTACCAAATCAATAAAATGAATGGCCAATCTTCAAAAGCTTACCATGTCAATGAAGTCTGGTCAATCTTTAAAAGCATACCATGTCAATGAGAAGTCTGGTCAATCTTCAAAAGCCTACCATGTCAATGAGAAGTCTGGTCAATCTTCAAAAGCCTACCATGTCAATGAGAAGTCTGGTCAATCTTCAAAAGCCTACCAAATCAATAAAATGAATGGCCAGTCTTCAAAAGCTTACCAGGTCAATAAGAAGTCTGGCACATTCCACATGGTCATTGATGGTAGCAATATGCAGGGCGGCAAAATTGTCCTCACCCTTCTGAAGATTCACAACGCCCGCGTCTCTCTTCAAAATGGCCTGTGTGGCGCTGAAACAGAGTGATATAGTTTATGGCGACTTGGACCAGAAATAGGGTCTCTTTGTAGTTGCATGTCGAAGAGTTACATCCCTTTGCTTGTCGACTGCAGATGTTTGTGCACACACATTTGAAAGGGTTATTCTTGGAGTGGTAAAACAAGGCTTACCCTGTTATTTGACTGGTATTGATTGAATCATACTGTTTAAATCATGGCACAGTTGTAAAGCAAAATGGCTGAAAATCAGAATTACTGACAAACACACAGTTTTCAGTTCTGAGGCTCATGTCAACATTAGTGAGTGAGTTTAGTTTTTAAGCTGCACTCAGCAATATTCCAGCTATATGGCATAGATCTGTATATAATCGAGCCTGGCCAGAAAATCCAGTGATCAATAGCATGAGCATCGACCAATGCAAATGGGATACGACCATATGTGCCAACCAAGTCAGTGAGCCTGACCACCCGATCCCGTTAGTCACCTTTTACGACAAGTATGGGTTACTGAAGATCAATTCTAACCCGGATCTTCACGGGTTCATTCCAGCATTAAGTGACATCATTGTTCATATGACTGATTACCTCACACTGGGCAATCATCAATTCTCATTTACCTGACTGTCACATTACCAAATACAGAGAGAGGCACACATGTCTATTTGAACCTGTGTAAGACTTACATGACTGTGATGTTTTGTTTGTTTCATTGTTGTCCAACACCGCACTGAAAAACTCCAATGTTATCCCATGGTCTAAATTTTGCATTGAGTTATCAATACTGGAAATCCTGGTTGGTAAAATGCAAGCAATTGTTCTTTTTGTTCAAATGATCTTTCACAAGTACACAATTCACCTGGTGTTTCCGGTGAAGGCAGCAAACTGCAGTGGATTGAACCCTTTCTTGTTGGGAATGCGGAGGTCAATCTTGGCAGCTCTCATCAGAAGGTCAACAGCCTCCCTGTTCCCCTTCTGAATGGCATCATGGAGGGCTGTGTCACCAACTACATCCTGAAATATACGGTAAGTTAATTAAGTTTAAAAATGAAGTTGAAGTTGAAACATATTTTGCAGAAGTTGACTGTGTGGAAGAAAACATCAATAAACCTCTGAAAATATCAGAGTCAACTGTATGATTTCAACCAAAAAAAAAACAAAACAAAAAAAACAAAAAAAAAATATGCTGATGGTTGTCTAATGCAAAAAAATTTACCAAAGTAACAGTTCCAATCCCATAATGATTACAATATGTGAAGTCAATTCTTGGTCTCATCTGCCATTATGCAAATAGACTATTGCTAAAAGAGGCATAAAATCACACTCACTCCTTTTAACATGTTTACACAAAAATGTTATATTTTAAAAACATGAAGACACTTCACTTTCTAAGTTATACACAAATCAAATTCGTGTTTTGAATCAGCATTTTATTTGCTTTGTTTGATGTTTAACACCGCACTCAGCAATATTCCAGCTATATGGCAGCAGTCTGTAAATAATCAAGTCTGGACCAGACAATCAAGTGATCAACATTCTTAGCATCAATCTTCGCAAATGGGATGCAATGACATGTGTCAATCAAGTCAGCGAGCCTGACCACCCAATCCCATTAGTTCCCTTTTATGACAAGCATGGGTTGCAGAAGATCTGGATCTTCAAGTGCTTGAATCAGCAAGAACCAGTAAACTGAGTAATACCTTATTGTCAAGTCTTGTGTGGAAAGTTGGTTTGGTCACCTGACAGTCTTACCTTTGCGTTGACGTTGCATCCCTTCTTGATGAGCTCCATCATGACATGCGGAAGGTTTGCAAAGGCGGCGAAGTGAAGGGCTGTCCTGTTCTGATGGTTACACACCTGTACACTGGCCCCTTTCTCCAACAGCAGCTGGGCTGTTTTCTCCTTCTTTCTGAATGATCAAGAGAGGGAGAGTCAAGGTAAATGCCTCACCCAATGGCATTCCATTACGGAAGTAAGTGATCATGAGTGAGTGAGTTTAATTATTTCACCAATTTTTAGCAATATTCCAGCAATAACACAGCGAGGACACCAGAAATTTGCTTCACATATTGTACCAATATTGGGAATAGAACCCGGGTCTTCAGCGTGATGGGGCCACCCCACTGCCCCAAAGTGATCATGAATGTAGGTTGTTCTGAGTATGCTATAATATACTCAGTAGCAGGCTATGGTTAAGACACATTATGTGTAATATTCCAGGGCAAATTTTGAATTCAAATGAAACACTGCACATAAAATTTGGACAATGGGACCATACGTGTCTTGTGACGACAAATGAAATATTGCATCAGGACTTCAAAACCAAACAGCCTGGAGAATTTGGCCGAGATTGACCTCATCCTTTTCAAACAGAAGATTTAACCCTTCTCACTGACTCACAAACACTGACTTTTCCTTCATACTCAAAAAACAGAAATATCTATTCCCTGCAATGAATTGTCCTGAATAAAACATATTGTGTTTTGTATTAGCTAGAAAGTACTCTTCCCTCCTCCCCATCCCCAACACACACACAAACCCCACCCACCCCACCCCAACACAATCCCCACCTACCCTATGAGAGCAGCATGCAGGGCATTATGTCCCTTCCCATCTGTAGGGCCTGGTCCCCACCCTCACACCCTACACAATCCCCACCTACCCAATGAGAGCAGCATGCAGGGCAGTATGTCCTTCCCATCTGTAGGGCTGATCCCTAGCCTCACCCCTACAGAATCCCCACCTAACCAATGAGAGTAGCATGCAGGACAGTATGTATCCCTTCCCATCTGTAGGGCTGGTCCCCATCCACACCCCCTACACAATCCCCACCTACCTAATGAGAGCAACATGCAGGGCAGTATGTATCCCTTCCCATCTGGAGGGCTGGTCCCCACCCCACACCCTATAGAATCCCACCTACCCAATGAGAGCAGCATGCAGGGCAGTATGTATCCCTTCCCATCTGTAGGCCTGGTCCCCACCCTCACCCCCCTACACAATCCCCACCTACCCAATGAGAGCAGCATGCAGGGCAGTATGTCCCTTCCCATCTGTAGGGCTGATCCCCTAGCCTCACCCCTACAGAATCCCCACCTAACCAATGAGAGTAGCATGCAGGACAGTATGTATCCCTTCCCATCTGTAGGGCTGGTCCCCCATCCACACCCCTACACAATCCCCACCTACCTAATGAGAGCAACATGCAGGGCAGTATGTATCCCTTCCCATCTGTAGGGCTGGTCCCCCACCCTCACCCCTACACAATCCCACATACCCAATCAGAGCAGCATGCAGGGCAGTATGTCCCTTCCCATCTGTTGGGCTGGTCCCCAACCCTCACCCCTACAGAATCCCCACCTACCCAATGAGAGCAGCATGCAGGGCAGTATGTCCCTTCCCATCTGTTGGGCTGGTCCCCCACCCTCACCCCTATAGAATCCCACCTACCCAATGAGAGCAGCATGCAGGGCAGTATGTCCCTTCCCATCTGTAGGGCTGGTCCCCACCCTCACCCAATGAGAGCAGCATGCAGGGCAGTATGTCCCTTCCCATCTGTTGGGCTGGTCCCCCACCCTCACCCCTATAGAATCCCACCTACCCAATGAGAGCAGCATGCAGGGCAGTATGTCCCTTCCCATCTGTAGGGCTGGTCCCCACCCTCATCCCTATAGAATCCCACCTACCCTATGAGAGCAGCATGCAGGGCAGTATGTATCCCTTCCCATCTGTAGGCCTGGTCCTCCACCCTCACCCCTACACAATCCCCACCTACCCAATGAGAGCAGCATGCAGGGCAGTATGTCCCTTCCCATCTGTTGGGCTGGTCCTCCTACCCTCACCCCTGCACAATCCCCACCTACCCAATGAGAGCAGCATGCAGGGCAGTATGTCCCTTCCCATCTGTAGGGCTGGTCCCCACCCTCACCCCTGCACAATCCCCACCTACCCAATGAGAGCAGCATGCAGGGCAGTATGTCCCTTCCCATCTGTAGGGCTTGTCCCCGACCCTCACCCCTACACAATCCCCACCTACCCAATGAGAGCAGCATGCAGGGCAGTATGTCCCTTCCCATCTGTAGAGCTGGTCCCCACCCTCACCCCTACAGAATCCCACCTACCCAATGAGAGCAGCATGCAGGGCAGTATGTCCCTTCCCATCTGTTGAGCTAGTGTCCGCTCCCAGCTCCAGCAGCACCTTCACAACCTCAAACTGACCATCATGGGCGGCCAGAATTAGTGGGGTCACACCCTTGTGTTTGACGTTAAGCTGAAAGTGGATTTCAGATGTTATGATTCAACTAGCATTGGAGATTTTTTAATAACATATCAACTACTTTTTCATAAGTAAGCTCACAATATTTTTCAAAAACCATTAATTTTAAAAATGTCAAGTATGTAAATCATTTTATGAAATTCAGCCTTCTAATTGGGGCAAAACGAGGGAATTTTCATCAGAATGAATGATCAAAACATACACACTTCGGCCAAGCAGCACATGTTGAGGTGGGTCTTTACACCAAGGTGACCATGGCGATCATACATGAGTGACATAAGTGTCTTTAATGATATTGGTCAATATGTCCCTAGCATCTTACCATTTTGGGAGCCTTGCTGACAATTGACCTGACCATTCCAACGTCTCCTTTCCCAATTGCCTGATACAGGAGATCTGGGTCTGCTGCCAAATGTTCCCTAACATCTTTCATCATCATTGCTGCCATCAGCTTCAAGAGATCGGCATGTGTGTCTACAAGACAAACATTTAGCTTAAAGGTCAAGGTCATGTTATAATGTATTTCCATGATAAAAACATCAGTCTGGGAAAACAGACAATAATAGATCCAAGTATTTTTTCATTTCATTCGATCAAAATTATTTATTGGAGGCCAACTGACAAGAGTAGCCTCCCCTACCAGTGACTCCTGACCCTGAAGATCTGGGAGAGGACGCAGATTCCACCAGTTCAAAAACTTTCTCCCCTGGAGCAGGTACACAGCAAGCTGGGTTCAACAGGAACGTCCTCTTGCCAAATGCCAGAATAACATCCCCGTCGTTATCGACCTTCACGATCTTTCCACACTTCCCCAAGACCTGAAAGCAGGATGGTTATGTAAGTCAGTTAAGCTTCCCTTGTTAAACATGTTTTTCACAACTCAGGATCAAATAAACTCACCATAGATGTTGCTGTTATACTTTTTGTTTTTCATTTTATCTCCATTTTATGTCATCAATTGTATGTAATATTTTCAATGGTCCAAGAAAAATTGATTAAGAACTTAATTCCAGTGTTATTAATATTGTAAAACAACACCCCATTTTGTACAGAACCCCATACATTCTCATATGTAATTGTGGAACATGTCCTTTGGTTGTACCAGGATCACCACAAATAAATGATTTGGATTGATGCCACTTTGAACAGTATTTCAGTTCTGTTACCTCCCCAGCGCCTGGTGCATCACCCAGAAATCACAGACTCTCAAACTCAATCTGCTTTAACCACTCTGCTATGTAAACACACCCTTGCCCTTATTATAAAAACATATCAGTGTATTCTGCTCTTTGATCTCACTGCATTGTTTGTACATTCTTATTTATACCTCCTTTTTCCCTTGTATATTATACTCAGTTTACATATCTGGCTTCCTGTACATCTATATATATACTGTACTGTTCACTTTCACCATTATCCACCTGAAGAAGGGCAAGAACTAGCCCAGAAACATTGTGAAATATAAATCAAGAAGTTGTTATCCATAAGATTTGTCTTGTATTACTACACCAACTTCTAAATGCCTTTGAAGAATTGTTTTCAGTATTTCAGTTATATCATGGTGTGTCAGCTCACTGTGAGAGGACTAGGGGTGAGTATTGCAGAGAATTTTCAAATTGCGATATATTGCAATGCGAAAGCATATATTGCAATATATTATTACTGCAAGAAGGTTTTTTTAACAAAGAACTACTTATAATAGAGTTAATGCTTGATTGATAAAGCAAAAACAAACAAAATCACTATGCTTGATTAAGCTTTAATAAAATCATTTAATCATGACAAAATAAAAATGTAAATAATATTTGGCACAAATGAAACAAGGAAAAGAATAATTAACATCAACACAGGGGTTCAACCCCAAATGCTGCCATACTGAAGCCTTTGTCCTTGTATTTCCTGGCACCACAATAAATTATTCGTTGCTGGGGGTCGCCATTTTACAACAAATGCATGACTTCCAGTGTGAAAAACGGAAATATCCGAAGATTTCCGAGTGTTACGAAGTTTTCCGAATGCATGTCAAAAATACCGGTTTTCGATCAGCGTATCGCAATACATGTCGTTTTCATGTGTGAACCAGTAAATAACGGTAAACCGGTTATATTGTGCAGCCCTAGAGAGGACAGACTGAGGTGATGCGGATTCAGATGTTGGCCATGTTGGTGCATGCTAGCAATGGCATGGTACTGACAAACCAAGAAACATAAACAGCACAAATCCAGATTTGAACCCACAATCACAGATTTCTGCTGTGCCCAATAGGACACAGCTCTCAACCTTACAAAACAAGGAAAATCATGCTGCCTACACCAGAAGTTGCATCCTGCATCACTTTAGGCTTCTCTGCCTCAACGAGCAGAGTAAGTAAATTTTCACTAAAAAGTCACCAACTCAAACTAAAACCCATTTGACAATGCATTTTCACACCAAATCCATTTTGAAAGTTTGTGTTTGATCACATGCATGTACACCATTTCAAATATTTAACGTTAAAATGCTTTGTGGGGCAGGCCCGTAGTTGGTTCACAGAGACAGCTGTCTTAGTTTGGTAAAATGTGTGTCACTGTGACAAATTACTGACCTGCTTCAAGTCTGAAATCCAACCCCCATGGTCATCTTGTAGAGCCTTGACCCTATCTTCCTCGCTGATCAACTTGACAACATCGCCTAGTTTCAAGTTTGGAATCTGAGATAACAACATTACAAATATATTATACAAATATTTCTAAGTTCAAGAACTTCAAGAACCTGGTGATTTCAACCCGTGTTTGTCACAAGAGGGAGCTACAAGACTGGGGCCCCATTTTATAAAGCGATGGTAGTGCTAACAAGGTGATTGTATCTCCCATACGTTAACATAGACTTATGACAGTCGTAGTGCTACGAACGCTTTGTGAAACGGTCCCAGTTGTCAGGATCTATAACCCAGTTCATTATCTGTCAATAATCTTGACCAAACACAATCTACAAACCACCTTTATGAATTTTGAAAAAATGTAGAGTTGCAATGTTGAACAATCAACAAACATAAATTGCATATAAGTGAAGTGTTTGCTGTTAGGAATTCTATAAAATTTTACAAATTGTCTGAAACACAATCAGATTTGACACTGCCATGGAGAACAGTCAGCGGTTAATATCAGAGCTATTAAATGTTGTAGTTACAAGGATCAACATGCCTCTAACTGCAACTCTTCTCAGATACTAATCAAATGAAATCAAGCTACTGAAAAGATCATAGTTCACTGTTCAAATTTCTGTAGATTTTGTGAATGTAATTGTGAATATGACAAGGATCATACTTGTAGGGCATACTTATCTGATCATTCAGCCAAATTACTCATGGATGACTTATCTATTCCATTATCATGAATGTTACTCACACTATACAGAAAAATGCAAAACATTTGTAACCTACCTTTCTCAGTGCTTCAGGGGTGAATCTGAAGCGCATGCCCCCAAACTCTACAGTAGCATCCCCGGAAGGTGCAAACCCCTTCAGGATCCCGACCTTGCCGATACACTGGGGCAGAAAACCAACAATTGATACAGTTGAAACTAAACCAGATCATTCCATACACTACAAGGCATGCATGTATGCCAACTGTGTAGTAAGATGCTCATGAGGTCAATCACTGGATTGTAGGACCCAGATATGCTTATTTACAGACCACTGTCATTCCATTGGAAAAGTGCTGTGAGCATAAAGAAATCAATCCAATGCTTTGCAAGAAAATCATTTAATTTAAAAAAGGCTCTGAGTATGTGGACTCCTCAAAGGTTCGGAATGAACTAGTGGTGATCCGATTAATTGAAATAATCAAAGATTGGTCGCAGTGAGTAAACAACCAAGCAATGATCATGTTTTCTCATAATCGAACACAAACAATTCTGGAACACTTGTTTTCATCAACAATATTTTTGACAAGGTTGGTTTTTGTCTGTTACATTTCATAAGCACTACAAGCTCTTTCCAAGTCATGATTGAATTTATCTTAAAGACTTCAAGAAATTTATGTTCCTAACATACTAGTCATCCTTTAAAGATGTGAAATTTTGCCAAAATAACTACGTTTTTTTTCCTTATTTTTTTGTGCATTAACAAATTTCATAAATGACGCTAACCAATTATTTTCGATGATTGATCGGTGGTTATGAACCAATCATCAATTATGAAATTTTAACCAATTCCCAACACTAGAATGGACGCTCTTTGCATGTTCTTGCCAATTTGTAACAGCCTTTCCAATCACTGTGATTACTATAACAAATTGAACAGTTTGGAGATGAAGACTTTGAGGGTTTTCATGTTCCCAGCGCGCTTTATTTTGCCTTTCCCACCCTACTTGGACTATGGCTAATCTGACCATAAACTTCCAGTTTCCACCTTGGCAACACTGGATTTCTGAATTATGTTGTGGCTGTACCTATGCATAGTCCAATCGCAACTGGGTAACAGATATTTTCTAAATATTTTCAAGTGTTTAAGGTGCTAAAGTAATTAGATACACTTCACAATTAACCCACTGTATGAAAATATAGATCTGGATTATCAATAAAATCATCTTGACTGAGAGCCGGCATGCTGCTTGAAGCAAAGGCAAGTAATATGACATATGCAATCTGATTGGTCACCAGGAGGGACATAGAAAGGACAGAACGTAGCCAATAGCCAATGGTGGTGCTACAATCGAGCCCAACTGTTACAGGTGATACAATCATTTCATTGGGTAACAAGGCAATAACTATCGTGAACAGCTTGGTCACAGGCAATCGGTGTCCACTTACATTGGCCATCCCTGATGTCCAGCCTGACCGGTCACTCTGTAGAGCCTTGAGGGAAGCTGCAGGAACATGTATGTACACCTTGTCTCCCACTTGGAGAACCTCCGGCTGCTTGACCGGAGTCTGCTGGGCACTGTCTGTGTCTACAACATGTCAAAATCACACCGATACGCATGATTGGACCAGACCATGGGTAAATCATGACAACTGAGGTTCATGTGACTTTTAAATTGGGACATCAAGACAGTTACTGGTACCACTTAAACAGCCAATGAGACCATTGAGACAGGGCTGATGGGAGATCATGATCACCTCGACTGGATTCATGTCACACTCAAGTGTGTAAGGTTAACGACACTAATGTGACATGTGGACAGGGTTAATATGACAGGTAGACAGGGTTAACATGGCAGGTAAACAGGTTTAATTTGACAGGTAGACAGGGTTAACATGGCAGGTAAACAGGTTTAATTTGACAGGTAGCCAGGGTTAACATGGCAGGTAAACAGGTTTAATTTGACAGGTAGACAGGGTTAACATGGCAGGTAAACAGGTTTAATTTGACAGGTAGACAGGGTTAACATGGCAGGTAAACAGGTTTAATTTGACAGGTAGACAGGGTTAACATGGCAGGTAAACAGGTTTAATTTGACAGGTAGACAGGGTTAACATGGCAGGTAAACAGGTTTAATTTGACAGGTAGACAGGGTTAACATGGCAGGTAGACAGGTTTAATTTGACAGGTAGACAGGATTAATTTGACAGATAAACAGGGTTAACATGGCAGGTAAACAGGTTTAATTTGACAGGTAAACAGGTTTAATTTGACAGGTAGACAGGGTTAATTTGACAGGTAGACAAGGTAAATGTCACAGTCAGACAGGGCTAATGTGACCAGCCAGCATAAGGGTAGTATGGGGCAAGTCAGGGCTAATGTGACAGGTAGATAGGGATAAACTGACAGGTAGACATGGTTAACATGACAGATAGATGGGGTAAAAGTGAAAGACATGGGAACAGTGACAGGTACACAAAGCATATGTGACAGAGACATGGTAACAGCGACAGGTAGACAGAGCTAATGTGACAGGTAGACATGGTAACAGTGACAGGTAGACAGAGCTAATGTGACAGATAGGCATGGTAAAAGTGACAGGTAGACAAGGCTAATGTGACAGGTAGACATGGTAACAGTGACAGGTAGACAGGGCTAATGTGACAGATAGACATGGTAAAAGTGACAGGTAGACAAGGCTAATGTGACATGTAGACATGGTAAAAGTGACAGGTAGACAGAGCTCATGTGACAGATAGACAAGGTAATAGTGACAGGTAGGCAGGGCTAATGTGACAGGTAGACATGGTAAAAGTGGCAGGTAGACAGAGCTAATGAGACAGGTAGACAGGGCTAATGTGATAGGTAGACATGGTAAAAGCGACAGGTAGACAGGGCTAATGTGACAGATAGACATGGTAAAAGTGACAGGTAGACAGGCTAATGTAACAGATAGATGGGGTAAAAGTGACAGGTAGACAGGGCTAATGTGACAGATAGACATGGTAAAAGCAACAGGTCGACAGGGCTAATGTGACAGATAGACATGGTAAAAGCGACAGGTAGACAGGGCTAATGTGAGAGATAGACATGTAAAAGTGACAGGTTGACAGGGCTAATGTGACAGATAGACATGGTAAAAGTGACAGGTAGACAGGGCTAATGTGACAGGTAGACATGATGAAAGTGACAGGTAGACAGGGCTAATGTGAAAGGTAGACATGATAAAAGTGACAGGTAGACAGGGTATTGTGACAGATAGAAATGGTAAAAAAGTGACAGGTAGACATGGTAAAAGTGACAGGTAGACAGGACTAATGTGACAGGTAGACATGATAAAAGTGACAGGTAGACAGGGTAAATTGACAGATAAACATGGTAAAAGTGACAGGTTGACAGGGCTAATGTGACAGGTAGACATGATAAAAGTGACCAACTTGGATCAGTTTGATATGATCCACCAGATAGTCAATGTCAATTCACCGAAAGTTAATGTGACAGATACACATGGATATTGTGACAGGTAGAGTATGATGGCTAATGTGACAGGTAGACATGGCTAGTGTGACCCACCTAGAAAAGGTAGGTGCTCTTTGTAGTAATAGGTCCCTGGGCTCTCGTCTGTGTACTGCAGGTCCACCTTTCCCTGATAGCCCACTCGATGGCTACTAACTTCGCCATTCGACCACTTCACCTTGACCATGTTGCGTGTTGTAGGGGTGGAGACGCTGTTAGAGAGGCTAATGATCTGGCCAATTTTTCCAGACCCACCTGTCAGTAAATTGGTATTACAATCAATGGAGGTCATTGCAGAGACTTACTTATGATGTACATATTGCTAAAAGTGGTGTAAAACCCAACTCACTAACTCACTCATTGTGGCTCATGTACACTCGATGGAGGTCATTGCAGAGACTTACTTATGATGTACATATTGCTAAAAGTGGTGTAAAACCCGACACACTAACTCACTCATTGTGGCTCAGGTACAGCATGTGTCATCTGCACAGCAGAATGGTCTTGACAGATTCACTCAGTTACACTGGATTGTCTATATTGTATGTTGGTCTTCTACCACAGTATTAATTGTCTATGTGACATCTTGCAAAGTCTTTACTGCATGTTGTGTTCTCTGTGACAGGATTAATGGTGTTATGATTAATGGTTTATGTGAGTGAGTGAGTGAGTTGAGTTTTACGCCACACACAGCAATATTCCAGCTATATGGAGGCAGTCAATGGTCTATGTAAGATGTAATGTCTATACTACATGTTGTGCATTCTCTATGAATGCTGACTAATCAATATTCTGCAATGTTTGTCAATATTGCATTTCTTGAAAGCAGTATTCCTTGCAGATGTCTTCCACTAAATCATGCATATATATTTGTTTGTTTGTTGTTAAACGTCGCCCTCTGCAATATTCCAGCTGTGAATAATTGAGTTTGCAGGTAGACAGGATTATTGTTTATTGACAATCCAATCCTGTGACAAAGAGCATGAGCATCGATCTATGCAATTGCGATACGATGACAATTGTGTTAAAACAAGTCAGTGAGCCTCAGACCATCCGATCCCTTTAGTCACCTAGCATGGGTAATGCTGGAGACCTATTAACCAGATAACATGACTGAGTTTGGTTTACGCCGCTTTTAGCAATATTCCAAATATCACCGCAGGGGACACCAGGATAGGCTTATCATTGTACCCATGTGGGGATTCAACCTGGGTATGCCATTGCCAACTAATTTTAGCCCAGACATTAAAAATTCATAGGAATATCAAAAGTATGCCATTGGTACTATCTTTTGCCCAGACATATTCTTAATAAGAAAAAAGAACTGAAATAAATGAATGACTCTTCACCAGACACACCTGATGATGAACCTACATTCCTACAAAAATATTAAAAAAATATTATCCACTAGGGATGTCACGATACATAAGTTTTATGAATCGATACATATCACGATACCTATTTTCGCAGCATTATTGCATAAATTTAGTTACATTTTGAACATTAATATTACATATCTTATAATTGTCCATGAAAAGATCAACATTTTTTATTCTCAGAGATTAAAAAGTTCTAATTTCCCATCTTTGTGCATGAAAAATAATCATTTATAACTCTCGTAACATAAAAAAATATGATACAATTGCAAAATGTAAACGATACATAAACATATTTAAACCAATACTTTCAAAACTAAACATCGATAGTTTTGAATGTATCAATAATTGTATCGTCTTAGAAAAAGTATTGATGCATTGATGTATCTCTTTCCCTATATTTATTTTCTTTAGTAACATGTGGGAATCCAGGGCTCCAGATAATGGCCATATCGGCATATGTATGGATATAAAATATGTACGATACGGTAGGAAATAGTTTAGAAAACATAGCAGATACGCACTACAACAATGGTGTACAGTCTAAGACTCATTTACAGACGTATTTATCTGAAAAAGTATTGTTTTATTGTTTACTGACCTGTTTACACAAGACTAGCAATGTTGTGGTGCATATATGAAACGAAACACAAGATAACTGGTACTACATTAAAATCCATTCAGTACTCTAAATGTACTCTTAAGGTTTTCCAGCACTCCTATATTGACAAAATAAGGAGTACATACTCCTGATGTTGAAAAATTATCTGGAGCCCTGGGAATCATTCATGATCCATCATGTTACGAAAACTGACAGTTTCACTTCCTGGTATTTCAGCACTTTGTGCATAAGAATGTCAACACCAGTCTTTAACAAACAAAAACTTCTCTTTGCGCCATAGGCAGTGTGAAACTGTGTACAGTATAGTCTATTTTTTTTAACTGGTTTGACTTTAACAAAATGGGCCTGCAGATTTCATTCAGGGCCTGTAGTTTTTAAAGCCAGCAGGCGACAACAGGCCCTGATGGCCAACTGGCAAATTAAAGTATTGCAAACACTGGTGTCTACACAAATCCACTTTCACAATTTCGCATCTCTAGTTTTTTAACAAGCAACAAGAACACAGTATGTTTAGAATGTGCATGTACTTATTTATAATTAGGTGTAAATGTCAACATACCATCTAGGTTGGCGCTGTTCCAGTCCGGACCTCGCTTTACCTGTGCCCCTGGGAACAACCCCATTGCCCGGATCTTCAGACTCGCAGAACGCTTCTTGACCTTCACACTGGCCACAGGAACACATTCATCAACATACATCATATACAACAATTAGCATATGATTGCTAATTAATAATTACATATGGTCTCAATGGTAGAGTGACTGGTGACATTGCATACTGAGTCTTAAGAGGTGTATGTCACCAAAGATAATAGGTCCAAGCTGATATTATGCAAATGAATGCAAGAGTGAGGTTTTAAGGAGGTAATAGTATGCATCATACTCCAGTAATTTTTATTCAGTGTTTATTGCAGTGAATAATAATATCCTAGTGGAATAAACAGGATCTTTCATTTAAGTATATATTTTTATTAATTTTTTTTTGTACACAGTGAGACAAGTTCATTCCAAATCTTGCAATCTGATTGTGTTCCATGGAAATAATCTGTGGATATTTTTGTAGATCTGCAATATTAAAGCTGTGTGATAGTAGTAGTCACCTGATTCTATACAGACTGCCATTCCAGCTATATGGTGGCTGTTTGTTAAGAATCGAGTCTGATCAGACAATCCAACCAACTGACATCATGAGCAATCTTCATAGCAGTTGGGAAGACATGCATCAACCAAGTCAGCATGTCTGATTCCTGACAATTGCCTCTAACGACAGGCATGGGCTTCTGAAGACCAGTTCTAAACTGTATCTTCATCATATTCATAGGGTGTATATAATCTATAATCCTGTTTCAATATGGATTTGGTTCATAATGCTTGGCTAAGCCAAGAAATTGGACTATTTTGTGTATCTATTCAAGCTAAGGCTAGATGATAACTTAAAACAGTCTTGGTTCTCATCAATTAGTGAATCTTCTAAATGTATATTTTACAAGGAGTTCAAAACTTTGTTAAATGTTGAAAGATATTTGTGTTGTGATATCCCTATGCATATAAGAATTGCTATATCAAGGTTTAGATGCTGTTGAATGTGGCAGGTATAATGGAATTGAATATAACGAAAGGATATATCTTCTTTGTAAAACCAGACGCCAGCATTATATAGAAAATGAATATGAAGTACTATGATATACTTAGAACGAAATATATAACAAAGTTCACTAAAGAAATACTTACTCATTACTCTTTCATTACTCTTTTCAAATCTTTTGCAAAGCAAGAATGATGCTGTCATATACAATGTTGGCCTTTACTTATACCATGTACAGAAATTGTTTACTCCAGGACATAGAGCTGCAAAGTTGTTTTGTGCACCCACTAAACACCATGTCAGTTTGATGGTATTATGTGCAAGGGCCTCTTTACTAGGGCTGCGCAATATAACCGGTTTATCGGTATTTACCGGTTCAGACATGAAAACGATACGTATTGCGATATGCTGATCGAAAACTGGTATTTTGACTTGCATTCGGAAAACTTCGTAACACTCGGAAATCTTTGGATATTTCCTTGTTTCATTTATGCCAAATATTATTTACATTTCTATTTTGTTATGATTGAAAGTTGTTATTAAAGCTTAATCAAGCGTAATGATTTTGTTGTGTTTTAGCTTTATATATCAAACATTAACTCGGTTATAAGTAGTTTTTGTTTAAGAATACTTCATGCAATATATTGCAATACATATCGCAATATATGCTTTCGCATCGCAATATATGGCAATGTGAAAATACTCTGCAATACCCACCCCTACTCTTTACTGAATAAATACTGTCTGTCTGTCTGCCTATAATCTATGGAAAGTAATATGTACGGATAATTAAGCTCGCCAATACACCAGTCATAAGTCTATATTAAGGTATGGGAGTTATGATTACCTTTGTACAATGGTACGAAGGTCATTCTTCATAGTTTCACCGTGTTAAATTACTTTTTTCTTTCTTTTTTTTATCACTTTTTTATTTCTTTTTTATCTGGGTACAGCATTTCATACAGGTTTAACAGGTCGGCATATTTGTAGTATATAGAGCAAGTCAAATTACAGTCAATATCTATGTAAATAGATTGTGGCAAGACGACCAAAATGTAACAAAAGTGTTGTATTTGCAGTGAGAGTAGGTATTAAATTTATGTAATTCGTAATTGTAATTCAATTTTGATTTCAGACAAGCGAGAGAAGGTACAATGTTTGCTAATTTTCTATAATATATGTATTCTTTAGTTAATATGAAAATGAAATTCAGTATATCATTTCTTCTCTCTTTGAATCTCCGAGAATAATAGTTTATGCATTTAATTACTTATCCATGCTAACCATGAAGATCCAGTTATAATTGGTCTTCAGCAACCCATACTTGTCGTACTTGTCTCGTAAGTGACAACTAACAGATCAAGAGGTCAAACTTGCTGACTTGGTTCACACATTATCCCAATTATGTAGATCGATGATCACTGGATTGTCTGGTCCAGACTCGATTATATACAGACTGCTGCCATATAGCTGGAATATTGCTGAGTGCGGCATTAAACAATTAACAAACTTATCAATGCCATCCACATTCCAGTATTTAAAATAAAGCAACATACCCTTTAGAGGTGGGCGTGTCGTATCTCAGGAACTCATGTGACAGGTCGTGTTTGTCAGTGACGTAGCACAACGAACACAGGTTGCAACGCTTGCACTGCGCACAAGTCCACCGCATCCCAGCAATACCCTGAGTGTCACACCCATCACAGAATACATCACTGTGGCGAACCCCTGGAAACACAAACCTGAACATAACAAACAGTCATGCATTCAAGTGACAGTATATACTCGATATATACCATGGGGAACACCAGTACATGTATACCTGATATGTTCCGTGGGAAAAAGCTGCATGTGTATACTCAAGACATACTGTGGGCAACACCTGCATATGTATATACAATAACATACCATATGCAACACCTGCATGTGTACACTCAATATACCATACCATGCATGGTAACAATAACATACCTGCATGTGTATACTCAAAATCATACCATAGGCAACACCTGCATGTGTACACCTACAAAATACCGGATACATACTACCAGCCATATTGTTTAGTGTCACGTCACCTTAACCTTAAACTTTACCCAAACAATAACCCTAAACCTTACCCTAACCGTAACCAAAAGTAAACTCGCGTGCTACAAAGATGGTGGTAGGTATTCGATATTCTTTAGTCTTACCGTACATTCAATATCATACCAAAGGTAACACCTGCATGTGTATACTCAATATCTTACTGTGTTAAACCAAAAGAGTGCAAACCCTTGTAAATAAAGAAATATAGTTGAAAGCATGATGAGGGGCTCCTTGGCTTTAGTTCTATCAATTGTATTTCTGGATAATCGCCCAAAACGGAGCCAGAACACGTTTTTGACATCTACGGATCTTACTGGGGGGAGGGGTCATGTTTTTAAGAAGTTCAGAAATGAAATAGTTCCTCTTTAAAAGGCTGTATCTCAGTTTTCTTGGGATCAAAACAATTAGTGTTCTGGAATGGAAAGTTTGCACAATGGCTACTGGACATCAGTTATGGAAAGTTTCCAATGTCTAGATTTGATGGTTGGAGCTAAACACATTTTGGGAGCTAACTACTCAGAAAACTGCTGAAAACATGGCCAAAATCTGAAAACAAAAATAACTGCCAAACGGTACGTTTTAGCGACTTGACCCGTCCAGGCAAAATTGTTGGGAATTCAATTGTGCATCTGTACAAGAGATAAGGAAGAGTTGGAACAATTAGTTCTTGAGATATTTGCTGTCAAACTTTGAAATTGTGGAATTAATTTTGAATTATCTCCCCTTTGCTATTGAGCCTCGAGCCTAGAGATCTGTGTGATTTTTTGTAAGCGATTTGGAGCATTGGTTTAGGAGTTATGTTTGGTACAAAATTCGGCAGAATAATAAATAATAATAATAATAATCTGAACGATTACAATAGGTCTCCTGCCTAGAGGCAAGGCGCCCTAATAAGGCCTCTTTTACGAATACATTTGCATTACGAAATAAACACAACACATCCATGTAAATTCGCCAACCAAACTGCCGCTTCATGTTTGGCGTTTTCACAACTTACCGTATTAGTGTGCAAGCGTGATCAATACCGCGAGAAAATCAAGGGGGCTATCTTCTGATGGTCTTCCCCAAGGGAGGTAATTCTCATCGGAACATTCTCGTCATCGGACAAGTAAGGCACCTTCGATTATCTCTCTTTGACCGTTCCCAATCCTGCTTTTAAACTCAGGCGCAGTGCTGGTTCCCGGCTGCGCGCTAACGTTGACCGCGGTGATGATAAATTTGCATTTTCACGTCTGCCACATGCTCATTTACATATCACGTGGGTTTGCATTTTCACGTCTGCCACATGCTCATTTACATATCACGTGATCAGGACTTTAACTTACACAGCACCGATCCTATGGAACAGCCTGCCGCATCAAATGCGTTTAGGTCACGAAGTCCACAGAGCTGCCTGAGGCAGTGGTTTCTCATGCGACTCTTTCAGTATGCGTGAATGACTATTATTTTACTCCCATCGCTGTACCGTAGTATACCGCCATCAACAAAATCAACATCAAATTTAGGATTTTGTCCAACAACACAGCACGCTTAAGATAGCTGTGGAACAGCTTTTATTATCAGTCACACATACACCAGAGGATCATCCGATACATAAATTGTGCACAATAATAGTTCTATCATTCATATTAATCTTACCCCGACCTCCAGAATTGATTGACATATTACTAGGCTCATCTGTGCATCAAAAATTTAAAATCTAAATTTATCAAACCTGTGTAGACACATAAGGATTTAAACTCAGAGATTAGTGACATGTATCATACATGCATGCACGTGCCACGTTCCGTGACGTCAGTGGGATTGAGACGTGCAATACGTTATGCAGCATTCCGGGAAGAGAGAAACAGAGCAAATGAATGCCACACAATACTGACACTTTGGAAAGCTCAACCCCTACCCCTTGCGATCGTTCAAAAATTAAACGGCTATTGAAACGCAAAGCATGCCAAGGCTCACGTCTGCACAACGTCATGAGGCCATTGGGATGGTCCGTGGGGAAAGTCTCAACAAGTGGCTGCACAATTCCACTGCCACCGGAACACCATTTCTGCACTGGTGAGACGCTACCAGAACACAAATGACATCATCCATCGGCCACGTTCTGGACGTCCAGTGTAATGGGACTCTCCCAGGAATCACTGCCTAGTCGAACCCACCAAGAACTTTCCGGAGAATATGAAGGCTCCCAAACACTGCAGCCTTTTGCATTACCCAGAGTGTCAGAAGGGCTGTGCTCCCGGTGGAGAACCCGGGCACTCTCCTGATCTGCGCCAAGAGATCAGGGGGTACCAAACCAAAGGCACCGACAACAATGGGGAGTATGACGACAGTGTACTTGAGATGCAAGCGAGACATTTCAAAGGCGAGGTCCGCATATTTAGCATGCTTTTCCTGAATTTTGTCAATCACGTTGCTGTCAAAAGGGACAGAAAATTCAATTATATATTATTATTATTATGCAACTATAACTGCAGCAATGAGCAGTTTTACAACCTATCTTAATGATTGTTTGTATAGTTGTTGTGTAATTTCTACAGCAGCACAAGTGGTCAAATGTTTTTTTGTCACTATGTCCCAACGAATATCATTCTCCCACCCAGAGATCCATTTCGCTGGACTGTGGATGAGGCTCGACGTTGACCACAAGGAACTCCGGACAGGAAAGTGAATTAGCAATGTTTGAATGCATGTAACACGATTGGAGCAAAGTTCCGTCTGTGGTAAGATCCGTTTTGCACATTACAGGAGATATAGATCTACAGTAAAATATTATAATTGAATCACTTAATCGCATATCAAAATTAAAATGCTGAATAAGATTTTTTTCTTTCTTAAGTCAACATTAAAAGTAAAATTCTTTAAAAACTACTCGCATTCCGGAAACTACCGAGAGTTGGTATCAAAAGACCTGACGTCATAGTAGCCGATCGACTTACAGAAGATCGCGGCTCTTAACGTATAGAGTTTAGAAGTTCACTAATGTTATCGATGGCATATTTTAGCGGGATATAAAATGTCCTTTGAAGGACTGTAAGACCTTAAAAAGTGACAGTCGACTTTCGCGTGACATCTCTAATGGTCACGGGAAAGCAGCCGAATTTATGGGAAAAAAAACAGAAACCTGATAGAGACTGTTATGACCGACACTGAGTTGTCCTTTGATGTTGAATGAGAAGCTGAATGTTTGATGATAACGAACTAACTGAGTTGAGTTTTACGCCGCTTTTAGCAATATTCCAGCAATATCACGGCGGGGGACACCAGAAATGGGCTTCACACATTGTACCCATGTGGGGAATCGAACCCGGGTCTTCGGCGTGACGAGCGGACGCTTAACCACTAGGCTACCCTTTGATGATAAATTCAAGTCGAATTCAACCATTACCTCCTTAAACTGAAAATGTTTAAGTGCATTAATTCCCGCCTTTACATCTTCATTCATACAACGTGCCATATATCAAAACCACATATAGGTTTGTTTTTTTCAGTCATGATAGAAAACGTGGGCAGCTTGCTAACACTAACACTTGATGGTTGTTATCTTAGCGTCTGTGTTAACGATGAAAGTGGTACGTGTATTCACTGTAGGCCTGTAATGCTTGTCATGTATTACCTCTGATATAATGTCACACAGCTGTGTAGACAAACATATAGATAGTGAGTGAGTGAGTTCGGTTTTACGCCGCTTTTAGAAATATTCCAGCAATATCACGGCGGGGGACACCAGAAATGGGCTTAACACATTGTACCCATGTGGGGAATCGAACCCGGGTCTTCGGCGTGACGAGCGAACGCCTTAACCACTAGGCTACCCCACCGCCCCAACAGATAGATAGATAGATAGACAGGGTTTATTAAGGGTCAATCAATGTTCGGTCACGGTGATCTAAAAAACATGGACTACTCTTGGCAGAAAAATGGTTAATAGCATGAGCAATGACTCTCGTCTCCAACAGTTCGATGTTACGCAAACAACCACGTCAACATTGTGCCCACCCGGTCTCCAATACAGAGTATTCACTTAAAACTTGACAAAACTATTTCGGACATTTTGAAACCACTACGAGGCTGAAAATGTCACCAAAACCCTTGAAGTTCTTAACACCATGTTAACGTAACCATGTCGAATTATCATTTCTTGGTTGTTTCATTATAGCTACCGTCAAATGTGGGTGTTTAGTTTCGTTTATGTAGCTCTATAGCGCAGGTGAGGAATCAAACCTTGGTATGAGGCGTGTCGAGCGAACACTTTAACCACTTGGCCATTACCACCGCCCCTATCATACACTGGTTGATCCAGAACATGCTCCCAACACGTGTCCTTACCAATTGTGGCGTTATCGAAGATCCTGAGATCGTGCTTGCCGAACTTTCCTATCCGGCACATGCATCTGTTGCCACTGTCCCACAGAACCTCGCACGTCCCCTCTCCGCCCACGCTGACCACCGTGCCTAGGTGACCTTCACCTCCATCACGCTCCTCACTTGACCAATCAGGGCCTCGTAAGACACGTAGGCCCACTGACATATTTTCAGGTCAGTGGGTCAAGTTTAGAAAAAATATCCTGCAATGATAAAAATAAGAGTTGCATATCGTTCAAAGACAGAGGCAAGCCCCTTTATCAACTTTTCATATGAAAGTCTCCAACTGAAATAAAAGCAGCTTCTCCATTCCAAAATCATTCCAAAAGAAACTTCTTTCGGCCTTGACCTCAATGGAGGCAACATGTAGAGATGTTCCCGGCAATGAATCCGGCAATCAACTTTCACAATAACATTAAACGTGACATTCACAATAGCATCAAAAATGACCTTGACCGAGTTATAAAAGCAAGATGTGTGGTCGGGAAGGTTATCCTACCAACAAGGTACGTGGACGTCCTACCACTACAGGACAAGTTGCAGAAACACAAAGGACGTGACCGTCTTAACAGGGACAGGTTGCCTTGCCACAAAGGAATAGCCTGCCTTGCCACTAAGCAATAGGTTGCCTTGCCACTAAGGAATAGGCCGCCTTACCACGAAGGAATAGGCTGTCTTACCACGAAGGAATAGGCTGTCTTACCACTATGGGACGGGTTGCCTTACCACGAAGGAATAGGCTGCCTTACCACTATGGGACGGATTGCCTTACCACTAAGGAATAGGCTGCCTTACCACTATGCGACGGGTTGCCTTACCACTAAGGAATAGGCTGCCTTACCACTATGCGACGGGTTGCCTTACCACTAAGGAATAGGCTGCCTTACCACTATGCGACGGGTTGCCTTACCACTAAGGAATAGGCTGCCTTACCACTATGGGACGGGTTGCCTTACCACTAAGGAATAGGCTGCCTTACCACTATGGGACAGGTTGCCTTACCACGAAGGATGGGTTTCCTTAACACAGGGGGCTACGTTGCCCTGATATCAAGCGTTATGATATCTTATTGTTTAGATATCATTTCAGCCACAAATGTTATACGGAGTCAAAATTTCAGTGACTAAAGAACAAGTTCAGTTGTCTGCATGCAAGCGTTATTTAAATGTGTAGTTGTCGAATTCCAATTAGCAGGTGGAGACGTGTGTAAAGCTGTCCTAATCCATTGCTTGTTTTGAAACGTGTCAAATACTGGCCTCTTATCAACATGCTTGAATCTCGTTTACCCAAACAATTTTAAATATGGTACGTTTGTAAGATGAACAAGGCCACGTACATTGGTTATATAACGATACTCAAAATTGTTATTGTCCAGTTATTATAAACATATTACACCATCGTTTTAAAGAAAATGATTTTTGCAGTTTGGCATCAACGATTTATCAGAAAGTCAACACATTTTAACACATGTACATCACGTGAGTTCCTCGTGAATGCAGATAATGAAGTTTGTAACTTAATTTACATCGAAAACTCGAGAGAGAGAGAGAGAGAGAGAGAGAGAGAGAGAGAGGGAGAGAGAGAGAGAGAGAGGAGAGATAATAGAGAGAGGGCAGGAGGGAGGGAGAGAGAGAGGGGAGAGGGAGAGAAGAGACAGAGAGGGGCAGGGCGAGAGGGGGGGGAGAAGAGAGACTGAACGCCTTAACCATTAGGTCACAACACCACCTCAGGGTGAGAGACAACAATTTCCTCGATTAGTAGGAACTCTTTTCATGCACTTTCGGGGTCAATTGTACTTTTCTAACAGCATGGACCATGTCCAAAAAAAACCTTCCCACCAGCCATAGAAAAGTATGGCTGAGCGAAGTGGTTGAAGCTAATTAACTGAGTTTGATTCCCCATAATGACACAATGTATGTCCCCTGCCGTTAAACACTTGACTGGTCACAATGATCGATGTGTTCAATAAGTGGCCTTATATAACAGTCGGCGTGTTGTTACCGGGTCTACAAAGGCATTTACAGCCGGGCTGGCTCTCTGCCACGTGTACCGTTACATGTTTACTGCGAAGGAACGCGGTGTGCATTACAATATGGAATTCATGAAAGGTTTCGGATTAAAACTGCACACCTCTGTGTTCAAACAGTTTGCATACCTTGTTGCAGACAGTCTTTGTAAATGTACAATGATTAAGATAATTTTGTAGGTCACACAATGATATGATGTTGCATGTAAGGTATACCCTTGTGCGCACACACTGGAGTTACAAAATAGATTTAAATTACCTATGTAACAATGCAGTTGCGAAAACAGATTTTTTGTGTATATATGGCAAAAGAAATCACAGGCGGGATTTGGACACACAGCCTCACATGACATTCAGATATACAAAGACACCAATCCACATCAGCAAGGTTGTGTATGGACGACCGCGAGCAGGAAGAGCTATTTTGAGGGAACACCGGGGCGTGGAGGTAGAGCTCCGCGTACATCTTGTATGTCCGAGCTGGATCTACCCTCACAGCTTGTATGTCTGAGCTGGATCTCCCCTCACATCTTGTATGTTTGAACTGGATCTCCACTCACATCTTGTATGTCTGAGCTGGATCTCCCCTCACATCTTGTATGTCTGAGCTGGATCTCCCCTCACAGCTTGTATGTCTGAGCTGGATCTCCCCTCACATCTTGTATGTCTGACCTGGATCTCCTCTCACATCTTGTATGTCTGACCTGGATCTCTTCTCACATCTTGTATGTCTGACCTGGATCTCCCCTCACATCTTGTATGTCTGACCTGGATCTCCCCTCACATCTTGTATGTCCGAGCTGGATCTCCCCTCACATCTTCTATGTCTGAGCTGGATCTCCCCTCACATCTTGTATGTCTGACCTGGATCTCCCCTCACATCTTGTATGTCCGACCTGGATCTCCCCTCACATCTTGTATGTCCGACCTGGATCTCCCTCACATCTTGTATGTCTGACCTGGATCTCCCCTCACATCTTGTATGTCTGACCTGGATCTCCCTCACATCTTGTATGTCTGACCTGGATCTCCCCTCACATCTTGTATGTCTGACCTGGATCTCCCTCACATCTTGTATGTCTGACCTGGATCTCCCCTCACATCTTGTATGTCTGACCTGGATCTCCCTCACATCTTGTATGTCTGACCTGGATCTCCCTCACATCTTGTATGTCTGACCTGGATCTCCCCTCACATCTTGTATGTCCGACCTGGATCTCCCTCACATCTTGTATGTCTGACCTGGATCTCCCCACATATTGTATGTCTGACCTGGATCTCCCCTCACATCTTGTATGTCTGAGGCTGGATCTCCCTCACATCTTGTATGTCTGACCTGGATCTCCCTCACATCTTGAATGTCTGAGCTGGATCTCCCTTTCTCACATCTTTGTGTGTCTGACCTGGATCTCCTCACATCTTGTATGTCTGACCTGGATCTCCTCACATCTTGTATGTCTGACCTGGATCCCTCACATCTTTGTATGTCCGACCTGGATCTCCCTCACATCTTGTATGTCTGACCTGGATCTCCCTCACATCTTGTATGTCCGACCTGGATCTCTCCTCATCTTTGTATGTCTGAGCTGGATCTCCCTTCACATCTTGTATGTCCGACCTGGATCTCCCTCACATCTTGCATATGTCCGACCTGGATCTCCCTCACATCTTGTATGTCCGACCTGGATCTCCTCATCTTGTATGTCCGACCTGGATGTCCCTTACATCTTGTATGTCCGACCTGGATGTCTCCTTCACATCTTTGTATGTCTGACCTGGATCTCCCTCACATCTTGTATGTCCGACCTGGATCTCTCCCCTACATCTTGTATGTCCGACCTGGATCTCCCTCACATCTTGTATGTCTGACCTGGATCTCCTCACATCTTGTATGTCTGACCTGGATCTCCCCTCACATCTTTGTATGTCTGACCTGGATCTCCCCTCACATCTTGTATGTCTGACCTGGATCTCCTCACATCTTGTATGTCTGACCTGGATCTCCCTCACATCTTGTATGTCTGACCTGGATCTCTTCTCACATCGTGTATGTCTGACCTGGATCTCCCTCACATCTTGTATGTCTGACCTGGATCTCCCCTCACATCTTGTATGTCTGACCTGGATCTCCCCTCACATCTTGTATGTCCGACCTGGATCTCCCTCACATCTTGTATGTCTGACCTGGATCTCTTCTCACATCGTGTATGTCTGACCTGGATCTCCCTCACATCTTGTATGTCTGACCTGGATCTCCCCTCACATCTTGTATGTCTGACCTGGATCTCCCTCACATCTTGTATGCCTGACCTGGATCTCCCCTCACATCTTGTATGTCTGAGCTGGATCGCCCCTCACATCTTGTATGTCTGACCTGGATCTCCCCTCACATCTTGTATTGTATGTCTGACCTGGATCTCCACTCACATCTTGTATGTCTGAGCTGGATCGCCCCTCACATCTTGTATGTCTGACCTGGATCTCCTCTCACATCTTGTATGTCTGAGCTGGATCTCCCCTCACATCTTGTATGTCTGACCTGGATCGCCCCTCACATCTTGTATGTCTGAGCTGGATCTCCCCTCACATCTTGTATGTCTGAGCTGGATCTCCCTCACATCTTGTATGTCTGACCTGGATCTCCCTCACATCTTGTATGTCTGAGCTGGATCGCCCCTCACATCTTGTATGTCTGAGCTGGATCTCCCCTCACATCTTGTATGTCTGAGCTGGATCTCCCTCACATCTTGAATGTCTGACCTGGATCTCCCCTCACATCTTGTATGTCTGACCTGGATCTTCCCTCACATCTTGTATGTCTGACCTGGATCTCCTCTCACATCTTGTATGTCCGACCTGGATCTTCCTCACATCTTGTATGTCTGACCTGGATCTCCCCTCACATCTTGTATGTCTGACCTGGATCTTCCCTCACATCTTGTATGTCTGACCTGGATCTCCTCTCACATCTTGTATGTCTGACCTGGATCTCCCTCACATCTTGAATGTCTGACCTGGATCTCCCCTCACATCTTGTATGTCTGAGCTGGATCTTCCCTCACATCTTGTATGTCTGACCTGGATCTTCCCTCACATCTTGTATGTCTGACCTGGATCTTCCTCACATCTTGTATGTCTGACCTGGATCTTCCCTCACATCTTGTATGTCTGACCTGGATCTCCCCTCACATCTTGTATGTCTGACCTGGATCTCCCCTCACATCTTGTATGTCTGACCTCGATCTCCCCTCACATCTTGTATGTCTGACCTGGATCTCCCCTCACATCTTGTATGTCTGACCTGTATCTCCCTCACATCTTGTATGTCTGACCTGGATCTCCCTCACATCTTGTATGTCTGACCTGGATCTCCCCTCATCTTTGTATGTCTGACCTGATCTCCTCACATCTTGTATGTCTGACCTGGATCTCCCTCACATCTTGTATGTCTGAGCTGGATCTCCCCTCACATCTTGTATGTCTGACCTGGATCTCCCTCACATCTTGTATGTCTGACCTGGATCTCCCCTCACATCTTGTATGTCTGACCTGGATCTCCCTCACATCTTGTATGTCCGACCTGGATCTCCCCTCACATCTTGTATGTCTGGACCTGGATCTCCCCTCACATCTTGTATGTCTGACCTGGATCTCCCTCACATCTTGTATGTCTGACCTGGATCTCCCTCACATCTTGTATGTCCGACCTGGATCTCCCTCACATCTTGTATGTCTGACCTGGATCTCCCTCACATCTTGTATGTCTGACCTGGATCTCCCTCACATCTTGTATGTCTGAGCTGGATCTCCCTCACATCTTGTATGTCTGAGCTGGATCTCCCTCACATCTTGTATGTCTGAGCTGGATCTCCCCTCACATCTTGTATGTCTGAGCTGGATCTCCCTCACATCTTGTATGTCTGACCTGGATCTCCCCTCACATCTTGTATGTCTGACCTGGATCTCCCCTCACATCTTGTATGTCTGACCTGGATCTCCCTCACATCTTGTATGTCTGACCTGGATCTCCCTTCACATCTTGTATGTCTGACCTGGATCTCCCTCACATCTTGTATTGTATGTCTGACCTGGATCTCCACTCACATCTTGTATGTCTGAGCTGGAGCTTCCCATCACGATGGGTCATGTGATGTCAGAGCACCTTCATTGCGTATTTGTTGTGTTGTGATTATTCCGAGACAGTGGTGTTGATGTTGTACATCATTTCCCCGATAGCTCAATTGTGACAGCACAGTTTCCAGTGAAACAAAAATAATTTGAAAATAACGACAATTGACGGCATATTACAGTGAATATTACTTCCCAGAAGTAGCGTCATAACGAGGTACGGCACCGTCTGCTACAGAATGCGCAGTAATATAAGGGTAATGCTAGTTTTTAGGGCTTTAACATTTGCAGAAGCCCGAGGTCTTCCGTTAATTGCCCGACGAAGGAGGGCAGTTGAAAAGACCGAGGGCTTCTGCAAATGATAATGCCCTCAAAAATAGCATTACCGTTATTATTGCTAAAATACATGGAATTTGTGTTGAAAAGAAAAAGGAAACAATGAAGGAATTTGACTGTAAGTTTACCCAATTCAACTTCTGGCGGGGTTGACTGCCCGAATGCATTTACGTCATCGAACAATTCAAGAGACGTCCCAACAGAAAGTGACGATATTCGACCTTGGCCTTTAACAAGACCATAGCCTGCAACATGTCAAACTATGTCACTATATAGTCAGTGTTCGGTTTTGGTCCATCAACAGCCTTAATAGTGCAATTGTTAAGGTTAATTGTTAACAAGAAAGCCAATATCACCGCTATTTAAAGCGGGAATTCGGGTTGCTTTGACTTGTTTGACCCAGAATATCTGCCATTCGAAAGCCAATAAATGTCGAATGAACCGTAAGCCCGCGTACCCACTATGGCGTCACTTGACAACAGAACTGATAGTGGCCCGTCAAATTTCTGATATTGGGAGTATTTTGGCTATAAGTAATCAATATTTGCAAATGAAATGTGTTGAGGCCTGCCAAATGATATAAACAATGATAACACGCTGGTGATTTAATATCAACTAAACACCTCTTTATCAAACCGTTTCATTCCGTGGTCAGCATGGAGTAGAAAGACACCTTTGTCAGAATTCTATTTTTAGAACAAAGGTAAGTTTCTGTCACTCAGGTGAGGGTTAGTTTTTATTACATAACATTGATTATACCTTGACGTAAGTTTTGTTCAACAACAATAACAAATCTTGAAAGTAAAACTCAACGTCGGTTTGTGGAGGTATCAATTTCAGTGTGACGCACTAACCGACATTTCCATAAAGGACGGTATCTACCTTTCGTATTCAAACTTTCCGACGACAGACTATACAAATACTACCTTATTGTTTCAGTTCAGTCATTACGATTTTATTTGCCTACCTGTGGTAAACAGATTGATAGTAATTAGAACTCACCCCGCTGCGAAATTTGTCCCCGCAAGGAAGTGTAACTGCGTTTGTCGGGGTTATTCACATACAGTGGGTTTTCCCCACACTACTTTCGTTTTCCAATTATGGAACGTGAAATTAGGATTGTGCCATTTTGAAGATTATTGCTCCCATACAGCGGCGTGAATGAGACTAAGTCTCAGAAAATACTATATATTTTTGTGTATAAAAAACGAAAATAAGCTCTACTGTTGTTTTGGTTTGTTTGTTTGTTGTTGTTGTTGTTTCACGCCGCACTTGAAGCAGTATTCCAGCTGCATGGCGTCGGTCTCTAATAATTGAGTCTTGAGTAGATTATCCATAGTCCAGCATATAACTAGACGACTTTGCACTATACCAAGTATATTCATATGTACTAGACAATCCGGACCGCCTCCGTGGTGTACTAGTTAGAGCGTCCGCCCGGGGAGCGGAAGGTCGCGGGTTCGATCCCCGACCGCGTCATACCAAAAGACGTTAAAATATGGTACTTGTTGGTCCCAGCCTGGCGCTCGGCATAATGGGTAGAACAAGGACTGGTCAGCTCGGAGTCAGTATAATGTGTCTGAGTGGGGTATTCATGCTTCACTGCGGCATGGTATCTCAGTGGGCTAGCACTATAAAACCAGCTTAAGTCTGGGCTAGTACAAGCAGCCGCACATACACATACACACGCATGCACGTCGTCATATGAGCGAAATATTCTCAAGCACGACGTTAAGCTCAATTTCACCTCACCTCACCTTCTAGACAATCCAGTGATCAACAGTATGAGCATCGATCTTCGCAATAGTGATACGATGATATGCACTGAGTTGAACTACAGCAAGCAAGTCTAACCACCACATCCCGTAAGTCGCCTCTTACAAGGATTGGTTGCTGAAGACCAATTCTAACCCGGAGGTTCACAGGTTTACAACTGGGATGGAGAAATCACACATTTACTCCATTCACAACTTTTGCGTTAGTCAGTCTGGGTGGGAAAATAATTTGGTTCGGGTACTGCGATGCAAATAGTGAGTGTGCATGTGGGCCCATGTTTGCTTGTTTCAGACACATGTCGCTTTCATGTGCTTGCCCACTCTGATAGCATGCAGAAGTTTACCATTGACATTATAACGAACTCCGAACTGGCTTGTTTTGTTACCTTGCCAAACGCCAGCCTGGGTAAAATTGAGTTTGTGCAGGTTTTGACCACACTTTAGAAGGGTAGCAGGTGGTTTATGTACGCTTTAACCAAAGGTTTGGGTGTGGATTTGGCGCACTTGATAAATATCTTCATTATCATCTTCTAACCCCCTCCGCTCTCCTCTCAGACAATGGATATGTGTTAGAGCCTTTTATATGTTTTACATATGTAACGAACTGCTACCAGTCGAGAAAGAGATACATTTGATGGCCTACAAATTTTGATGTTAGTACACACCCTTTGTATAGAATATATTTGAAACCCAGGTCTCAAACAGATTGAATGTTTGCACTTAAATACCTCATCACCTGTGCATTAGTGGTGGTCGGATTAATTGAAATAATCGAAGATTGATCGCAGTGATTAAACGACCAAGCAATCGATCATGTTTTCTCATATTCGAACACAAACAATTCTGGAACATTTGTTTGCATTAATAATATATTTCACAAGGCTGGTTTTGCCTGTCATTAAATTTACATTTCATAATCACTACAAGCTCGTTCCATGTCATGACTGAATTTATCTTAAAGACTTCAAGAAATTTATGTTCCTAACATACTAGTCATCCTTTAAAGATGTGAAATTTACAAATGCATCTTGGGCAAATTGCAAAAAAACACCAAAGAACTACATGTTTTTTCTTTATTTTTATTTTCATTAACAAAAATAACCCGGCAAATTTTATAAATGACGCTAACCAGTTATTTTCGATGATTGATCGGTTGTAATGAACCAACCATCAATTATGAGATTTTAACCAATTCCCAACACTACTGTGCATGTAACTCAAATCGGATTCCACGTTAGAGTTCAGGTCCCCACCAACATGTTTCTGCGACTAAAATGGACAAGTATCGATGACAGTTGACTTCAAGTCAAAGCACCCTCACGACCCTCACGACACGGAGCATGCTCATCATGTCATTCACTGGTTGATCGTTCGTAGACGTGATCCGCCTATGTGGTGGTGGATCTTGGCTTTGAGAAAAGGTGGTCAACCAATTTCGAATTTTTCCAAATCCAACTCAGGTCCTTAACACAAAAGAAAGCCTTCTTTGTCATACATGTACTTTATTTGACATAACTGTACATAGTGTGTGTACATAACATCATTTTCTCACATACTGTACATTCAGAATATACAACCACGACATGAATACTTCAACACACACTTTCATAACAGAATATTTGGATGCTGAACAACCAATGCATTGTCACTTTAAATCACACTGGACAAGTGAAAACTTTTTATAGTGCTCATAGAAGTTTGGGTGGATGTCTTATAATTATCTTGCCAGTACCATTCCTTGGTTCCTGCAAGACATGATCTCTCAAATTTGCATAGTTTTCAAGACCATATTCATATCACTGTATCCTAAATTGTTTTTCTTCTGTTTTAATTAGGAATTCTGGTCCCGAAAAGTATTTCAAAAGTCAATCACCCACAGATCAAAGAAATGTGATTGCTACTTTTGGGAGGCAAATAACACATTTAATCTTAATATCTCTGTATGAAAAAGGTCTGCAAGGATTTTCATATCAGACATTTACTGGACATTTTACATAGCATTCATCCCATGTTTGATGCAATAAATTTCCACTGTCTGTCCTGACAAATGTGAAATTGATAATTTACACCCGATCCTTTTGTCCAAGAGAGGCTGAGTCTCCCCAGAGAGACAGCCAGATGTTAATGATGTCAGACTATCTGTGTCCCCCTTCTCTAATGTTTCTTGTGGCCTCGGCTCTGGGCCCCGCCACGGGTGTAGGTGAAACTTCTGTTTCCTCGGGAGCTGTTGTGTTTCTGATTCTGACAAAGAGAGACAAAGTTAAAGAGAGCTATTGACACTGTTTGACACTTGAATCATACCAGGGTCCGTATTTCATTAGGGTTTGCTTGCTTGTTTGCATGCTTTCAGTCCTTGGCTGAGTATGGTTTTACACCGTTTTTAGCAATATTCCAGCAATATCACGATGGGGGACACCAGAAATGGGCTTCACAAGTTGTACCCATGTGGGAAATCGAACCCGGACCTTCGGCATGACGAGCGAACACTTTAACCACTAGGCTACCCCACCACCCCCTTCAGTCCTTGGCAGTAGGGTCACTATTCAATAACAATACTTGGTCATCGCAAGATAGAAGCCAGCCAGTTCTGTGTCCAGTGAGTGACCAGATAATATATCACAAACAGCAATGTTACTTCCTTGTTATAATACACAATCATTATCACAGTCCACAATGATAAATCTGAAATACTGCTGACTGACCAGATAATATATCACAAACAGCAATGTTACTTCCTTGTTATAATGCACAATCATTATCACAGTCCACAATGATAAAGCTGAAATACTGCTGACTGCATTGGACAAGAGTGAGTTTAGTTTTACGCTGCACTCAGCAATATTCCAGCAGTCTCTAAATAATCAAGTCTGGACCAGACAATCCAGTGATCAACAGCATGAGCACCGATCTACACAATAGGGATACGATGATGTATGTGTCAACCAAGTGAGCGAGCCTGGTACACAGTGGAAATTAAACAAAAATACCTATGTTTTGCAGTGGAATTTAAACTATACTACATAAATTTTGACTTACCTTTCAATCAACTAAACGTGAAATCCTTTTAACCAACTAAATGTGAAATCCCCTTTTTAACGCAATGAGAAATGTAAAATAAACTAATAAATAATGAAGTTTAAACTTAATATGAAGAAACTGTCTATCTAGCAACTGTTAAATGTTAATGGATAATTCTCTCAACTATTTCTATTTTTATCTACTCTATTCTATTTGGAGAGAGCAACCTATCACTTGGAGAGCTACCCAGCAACAACCTGTCACAAGCGCTTAAAACTGAAAGTCTAAACATCTGTATCATACGCAGTTGAACCTCGCACAGAATCTCGTGTAGCATGAAAAGCTAATGTCCTTGTGCTTCAGGTGCTATCAAGCACTGTGTCCGAGAACATCAGTTCTTCACGGACCCTTCAGAACAGAGCCTGACCACCCGATCTCGTTAGTCGCCACTTACAAATAGCATCAGTTACTGGAGATCAATTCTAACTTGGATCTTCAGGGGACAAGAATAAAGGAATGTTGACATGAATTTCCAACTCAATGCATTCCTACCTTATTCTTTTTTCCTTTCTTGAATTTACCAGCAGGATTAAAGTCATCTTTGGCTTTGGAAGTTCCTGAAATAGAGGTTACAAATGTGTGAGACATTCGCTCAATCACAAATTCACAATGTTATCAAATGCAATGATATCACAAAATACCCTTCAGTAAGCATCTGGTGCATGTAGTAACAAATCATTAATCATGCTGAACAACAAAAACTGTCATTCAACTTAGCTTATACAGTGAAACCTCTTTATTGAAAACCTCAATAATCCGGAAAACCCTCTTTTCCAATCTTACTGCTGAGAATGTCTGCATCTACATTCTACCAATGATATGTCAATTTGGAATGTTGTAAATCTTGATGATTTTAATTGTACAGCATGGTTTGGCAAGGTTTCAATCTAAAACTGTAACCGAAATGGAACCAGATCTCTATAAACAAACCTTGAAACATCTTGTTGTAAGACCCAGAGTAATCATGAGCCACAAACTCCTTGCTCTTCTTTGACTTCTTCTTCGGCACCTTTTCTTCTTCTTCCTCAACCTCTTCCTCTGGCTCTTCTCCCACCTCATCCCCAAGGGATGGTTCCTCAATCGCTCCTTCATCCACGGCTCCAGGAAGACTTGCCTCATACAGGGGCTCCTTTTTCTTCTTCTTTTTCTTCTTCTGCAAATGAATACCAGCCTTGTTAGAATGTGTTTACTGGTATTTGTTTGTTGTTTAACACCATACTCAGTAATGATTCATCTATATAACATATGTCTTTCTCACTGGGCCCTTGATGTCCAGTGTTGTTTGACCAAATGCATCAATTGTTAGATGTTGAGTGCAAGACAGTTTTCAAGGTTATTGATAAATCAAGTGATATGTATACTATAAAGCCATTTTGTCTGTCTAGTCATCATGTTTGTGTTGCCCAACAGGGATTAATCCTGCATCTAGGGCAATGTTCAACTTTACAGTCTCCAACTGTCGGTAAAAATTCCTAAATTGGAATTAGATATTTCCCAGTTAATGTTGTTGCATTTTGCAATTTCACAGAAGTTCACAGAATCAACATTAAGAAAAAGGCTTTAATGCTCAGTTTTTTCTAGATTTCAGAAATGGGAACTATAATAATCCCACTTTTGAACAAAATAAAACAATTCCCCAAGTGGCCTGCCAAGGTAACTTGGAATCCTAGAAACATTCCTGCCTGACAAGTCTAATATATTTGTCAGTGTAGTGACAGAGTATGGGTTACATAGTGAGTGAGTGAGTGAGTTTGGTTTTACGCCGCTTTTAGCAATATTCCAGCAATATCACCGTGAGGGACACCAGAAATGAGCTTCACACATTGTACCCATGTGGGGAATCGAGCAGGGTCTCATTGGCGTAACGAGCGAACGCTTTAATCATCAGGCTACCCCACCGCCCTATGGGTTATATACTTCTTTTAGCCACATAATGACAGGGTATCCTCTAGGGGTGTCACGATTCGGTTCGGTTCATCGAAAATCGAATCGATAGATGTACGATTCGATCTCGATTTCAAATGCATCCATTTCGATTCGATTCATAAAGTACTTACATTCTAATACTGAGAGTTTATTTCACCTGAAATCATAAGAAATTATGTTGAAAATTTGCTGCTACAGGTGTGGCCAGTGAGAGGGTATTCTCCACTGCCGGAGACATTGTAAGTGCCCAGAGGGCATGTCTTTCAAGTGAAAATTCCTTGCACAGAACATGATCATTTAAAATGACTTACAGTGACATTACATTAATGAACAGAACTCCAGAGTTCGTGACTGTAACTTAATTTCATGATCACTTGTTCAGTTGACAACTTGTCTTGACAGTGTTCTAATTGCCCATTTTTCAAAGTTTGCCAAATTAAACTGATGTTACAACAAATTTAACTTTGTCCTCAGCTTTGGTGAATCGAATCAAACAAATTGAATCGATAATCGTACTGTATCAAAGTGAGAGTGAATCGTGACACCCCTAGTATCCTCACATATCGTACTCATGAGGGGCCATGGTGTGACTATCTTCACCCCTAGTGCCAGCAGCATGTCTTACCTGAGCCTGTTCCCGCAGCACAAACTCGTTGGTGCTGATGGGGATAGTGTCAACCTTCATCCTCTTGGATGGAGGTTCTGAAACACAAACAATCCAATGGAGAGAGAGAGAGAGAGAATGGTTTTTCCAGCAATATCAAGGCAGGGGACACTAGAAATGGGCTTCACACATTGTACCCATGTGGGGAATCGAACCCGGGTTTTTGGAGTGACGAGCGAACGCTTTAACCACTGGGCTACCCCACCGCCCTGAGAGAGGAGCGGGAGGTCCTACATTCGGTCAGTTTGGTTTTACGCCGCCAGTTTTAGCAATATTCCAGCAATATCAAAGAGGGGACACCAAAACTGTGCCACACACATTGCACCAAAGTGGGGAATCACATCTTTTTTGCAATAAGGAAATTCTTGAACAATACTATATTCATGTAGCAACGGAACAAAGAATTTATGACAGAGTGTAATGATCTTGTGAAACATGTTTGTTATAACTCGAAAATAAGCACTTTTTGTGACAAAAACACTGTTTGGCACTACTCCTTTAAATACATTGAGTGGTTGAGAGGTATGCCATGATGACCATTGAAGAGTCAATGAGTGAAAGTTTTAGCAATATTCAGACATGAGAACCACAGGCCCTTGTGTCTTTGTGGAGGATTAAAGATTTTCTAAATTATATATAAAAATTTGAGATGAAGCCGGCTCGAAATGCTTCACAGTATAATACATTATGACAAGGTCGGACACTTCGTGCACCCCACCCGACTGCTTTGCCGATCGCTATGCTACCATCGCATGCAATCGATTAAAACTTAATGTAAACATAATCATCAATGATTGGCCTATCGGGCACCACTCATGACAGTGTTGACACCTACCAATTCTTTATTGTTATTTCTGCAAGTCGATTGAAACCCGATTTTGACCCTCAACCAAACGATCTTGGACAAATGGCTGACGATATATCCGCAGAAAACAGGGTGTGTGTGTGTGTGTGGAAGAAAGCCATCTGGCTGGTCAACACTGCTAAATTTGTACATTCTTTATAAATTCTCGAATTCAACTGCTTGACTTGGAAGAAATCTAACATTTTTTTTCCAGCAATGGCTTCTCAAAAGAAAGCAAAATTTGTAAATGTCTCTTTAACAAACATCAACCAACCAGAGGGCTTGCTTCGACAACACACACCGTTTTTTTTCTGCAGATATATCGTCATCATTTGATCGATCTAAAAAACGCTCCAAATGAAATAAAAATCCTGAAAATCAGATCCACGGAAAATCCCTCATGTCTGAATATTCCGGCAATATCATGGGGAGGGGGCACTATAATGAGCTTCTACACTTCGGACCCATATCGAATGAAGAGCAAACATTTCAACTACTTGGTTACCTCACCACCAGTCAAGGTCACAATCCAGTGTTCACAGCAGCAGGCTACATGATAACTGACTGACTGATTGAGTTTTGGCTTTACGCCGCTTTTAGAAATATTCCAGCAACATCACGGAGGGAGACACCAGAAATGGGCTTTCACACACTGTACCCATGTGGGATTCAACCCGGTCTTCAGCGTGATGAGCCAACGCTTTTAACCACTAGGTTACCCCACCGCCCTACATGATAACAAACCACTGACACAACACTACAAAGGGCACCTGTCACTCACCATATATATGCACTGGTTGACCTGTCACTGGGTCAATCTCGTGTCCAACGTGTGCTCTGTCGATGGTTTCACATCCTTCTTCTTGACAGTGTTTGGCTTCAGCTTCCAAGGACTGACATTCTAGAACAAGAAGAGGAGGAGATTATTCATCACTTCCTCGAATATTTTGGTGAGGAACACAGAAAATTGGCTTCAGATTATTGTCATGTAGGCAATCAAACCCAGGCCCTTGGTGTGATGGATGACACCTGGCTAACCAATACCCCTAAAACAAGCAGGACATATAACTGGTTTTACGTCGCCATAAGCAATATTCACCCAATATCATGATGGGGGACACCAGAAATGGGCTTCACACATATTGTACCCATGTGGGGAATCGAACCTCGGTCTTCAGCTTGACAAGGTGATACTATAACCGTTAGGCTACTCCACCGCCCCAAAACAAGCAGCAACTGACCTGATGACATCATAGTGAATGATTGAATTAGTTTCTGTGCTCAGCACAAGTTATGTCATCTTCATTTAGTTGCAGTTTCAAGAAATCACTTTCAAAATGACACTCAACCTTTCAAACCATATTCACACACAGACTTTTATTATGCACCCACCTGAACGGAAAGTTGTGCTTGTGACGTCACTTTGGTCTTTGTTGACTTTTCATCTGGTTGTAAATACTGAAACATAAAGAATATACTTGGCATGTACCATGTGGCATAATGAATAATATTTTTGAACATCAAGGACTCATTGGATTCATAACAGCCAAATTCTCAAAACACCATCTCAGTTATATGTAGAGAAAAGCTCAAAGTGCAAAAAGTAAAAATGTTATGACTTTGGTGATATTTTTGGCTCAAAAGGATGATTTTCTTATCTTCAGAGTTTGATTGTTGTAAAACACATCTCAGCAGTGTTCCAGCTATGTGACTGAAGCCTGTAAATAGTTGAGTCTGCCATCTGAGTGACTGACCACCATGTCCAATTAGTTAACCATTATGACAATTATGGGTTATTGAAGACAATTTCTGCCCCACATCTTCATGGGTCTGTATTTTAAGACCCATCTCATCAACACCATCAATACAGTGATGTGTCATTCAGCTTCCTCTTCATTTTTGGGTCTTGTTCTTAGTAGAATGCAGACCGCCTCCCGTGGTGTAGAGGTTAGAGTGTCCCACCGAGAGCCGGAAGGTCGCTGGTTCGATCCCCGATCGCGTCATACCAAAAGACGTTAAAATATGGGTACTTGTTGGTCCCTGCTTGGCGTCGGCATTAATGGGTACAACAAGGACTGGTCGGCTTCGAGTCAGTATAATGTGTCTGAGTACGGGGGTATTCATGCTTCACTGAAAATATTTTTACTGGAACACAAGAACTAACCTGTAGAGGTTTAAGATTCTTTGAATATATTCCTCCTTGGGGTACAATTATAAGCATTTAAATGTCCATTTAAATTCCCTACTGGGGTACAGTTGTACCGACAGTTGTAACAATATTTGAATAAAATATTTACAAAACAAAACTACGCTTTGTCTTGTGAGACCATTCTTACAGGGCCTTCCGCCCCCTACAGCCAAGAGCAGGTAACTCTAGACCAGAACCTCGTGACTCACTTTCCATGCTGAACTAAGTCAGACAGAATGCGGGAGGGAGTGGAGAGATCCTGCAAGGAGGAATATATTCAAAGAATCTTAAACCTCTACAGGTTAGTTCGATTCTTTTATATATTCCTCCTTGGGGTACTTATAAGCATAAGACAGACTCCTAAAGACGGATCTCAGGAGCTGCATTCTGTCTGCTTAAAAACACCCCGACAAGAAGTGGAATTTCCCAAGCTAATTATAGCAGAAAAGGCACACTTACCCGGTCACGGTCCACCAAAGCCAATCAGGCGGGGCATGAGCCAGGGTCAGGGTAAACGATGCAAATTTGTCCAGCTTAAACCTCGCTAATGCAACTAACGAGACACACCCTCCCTCCTTCCCGTAATCTACTCGAAGTGAAGATAAGGGTCCCGCGAATAAACCCAGAAACGAAATGCCGGAATATGAACAGCAAAGTTTCCAAGGGCAGTTTAGTCTAGAGCTTCTCGTTAGAAAGCAAGAGACATGGGAATAAAACCAGCACCACATAAAACCCATCACCAAGGGAAAATGTAACAAGATTTGTAAAACCCAACACCAGTGTTAAAATTGGCAGATAATGGTTCACACAATAATGTTTTTTAAAACCTCAAAGCTCAATCGGCTAGAGAGGTGGAACCATGCCCACTGGAGAGAACTGACTGACCGAACCGAGCACGCCACTGGAGAGTCTGTCAAGTTGGTAATGACGGATGAACGCATTCTCGACGGCTCCAAATAGCCGCTGAGCAGATCTCCTCAATGGGCAGGGCTGCAGCGTAAGCTGTCGATGTAGCCACTGCCCTAACCGAATGAGCTTTCAACCCAACAGGCGGATAATGCCCTGTTTGAGTATAACTCATATGTATGGCAGAGACAAGCCACCGAGAAATGGTCTGCTTGGTCGCCGGAAGACCAGCCTGAACCCCGCCATAACAACAAAACAATTGGTTACCCTTACGGGTACCCCTTGTTCGCTTGATATAAGCCTGAAGTGTCTTTACGGACATCTAAGACGGAGCACGCCGTGAGAGAGGTACCGACAGGGAAGGCTGAGTGAAAGCTGGGAGCTCAATAGGCTGCCGCCACATGGAAGGGACTATCCTTCTTAGGACGGTAAGTCTCAGGCAGCCGAATGCTAACTCTGTCTTTGTGAAAATAGTAAGCTGGATCGGCCGACATTGCATGAATATCGCCAACCCGCCTCGCCAGAAGTCACCGCCACAAGAAACGCCGCCTTCCACGCCAACAGCTGGAGGGAAAGAGCCGACAGATTGTGAAACAGTGGACCGACAGCCAATCAAGAACCATTGACAAGTCCCACGGGGACTAATCCGGCGGACAACCGACGGATTCTGTCCACGCCTTCGCTAAAAAGCGCTGTACAAGAGGGTGCTGCCCCAAGAGAGCACCGCCAACAGGAATATGAAACGCAGAAATAGCCGTAGAATATCCTCGAACAGTGGAAGCCGCTTAGACCGCTTCCAACCGAGACTGGAGGAATTCCAACACACAGACTAAATCTGTAGAAAAGGGATCAAGAATCCCCTGTTGACACACCAGCCAATAACAGGCCCATCTATCCTCATATTGAACGCTTGTCGAATCCCTCCGCTGGCCAGAATTGTGTCTGCAACTGGTGCAGGAATTCCGCCGCGATGGAGGCTTATCCCGATAGCGCAAGCCACCCACTGAATCCTGGGATTCGGGTAATTCGCTCTGGGATAGGAGGTCCGGCCGAAAAGGTAATAGAACAGGAGGCTGAGCCAGAAACCTGAGAATTACCGGAAACCAGCTTTGTGCCAATTCAAAGGTGCCAGAAGCACAAGTAGCCGAAGCTACAGCGGTCAGCCGCTTACAGGACCCTGGAAATCAGTGGTATCGGGGAACGCCCACAGTACCCTGTCCGGCCCAATCTAGCTGAAAGGCGCCGTTTATTAACGCATCCGGATCCGAAACGGGAGCAAAACACAGGAATCTGGTTCGGCCACCCCAGACGCAAACAGATCCACCTGGAACTAACCAACAACTGGGAGATAATCCCGACATCTCCCGGTCGAAAGCATCCACTGCGTGGGGCTAGTATACCGTGAGAGAGCATCTGCACGGACGCTGTCTACCCCGGAGATAAACAGGCAAAACCCGATCGTTGAACTGATCGCACCACAGTAGAAACTGCCACTCCTGAAGGAGCCGACGGAGACACTGTGCCGCCTTTGCTTGAGAATGTAAGACATGGCCGCTTGATTGTCCATTTCTAGACTAACCACACGGCCCTGCACCAACACCCTGAAGCACTCGAACACCCTGCGGACTGCTGCTCTCAGTTCTAACACATTGATGTGTAGGCTGATTCTCCCGGCCCACCAGAGGCCGGAGGCTGAGTGCTCGCCCAGGACCCCCAACCTGTGAGGGAGGCCCGCCTGAACTGAGAGGGAAGGTGTCGGGTGTCGAGGGGATCCCCTGGACAAATTCCCCGACGCCCGGCCCACCATCGCAAGTGAGGGATTAACCACTCTGGCGCTATGAGCATAATCTCAGAGCCCCGCGAAGTGGGACCACAGCTGAGCTAATGCTTGCTGAATTGGTCGCGATCCTCAAACGCCAAGACGCCAAACCACGCCCACTGTCGCCGCCATGTTGCCGAAAGCAACCGGGCCATGTTCGGGCCGAATTTAACGGGTACTGGAGGAACTGTAACACAGTCCCCGGACTTTGACGATGCGGTCCGGAGCAAGGGAAACAATCCCTAGCCTGTTGAATCTGGCTCCCAAGAATATCAGATCCCGCGCCGAACGAGGTCTGATTTCTTGAGATTGATAATCCAGCCCAGTGACACCAGAGTATCCAGCACGACAGTGTGTGGAGGCTCTGCTTAACTGAGGCCCTAAGGCCCGTGAGAAGCCAATCGCCCAGGTACGGGTGACAACACCTGCCCCGGAGACCTGGCTAACTGAGCTGGGATTAGCATAAGTTTGGTGAACACCCTTGGCCGCGGAGATGCCGAAGGGGAGCACGCTAAACTGGTAGCACGCCCCGCCAAGGAGAACCGGAGGTACTTTTGAATTCGGGTGCATTGGAACATGGAGGTATGCGCCTTTGAGATCGATTGACGAAGCCAATCCCCTGTCTCGACGGAGGAGATCACTGACCTGAGTGTCTCCATCCTGAAAGACGGCACCTCCAGTAATTTGTTCAGCCCTCTGAGATTCAGAATGGGTCTGAACCCTCTCGCCCTTTTGGTCACGAGGAAGTAGGTGGAATAAAACCCCTCTTCTCGCTGACTCACAGGAACCACTCGATGGTCAGCCTTTGGTCAGTAAAGACTGAACCTCGGCATCGGAGGACTTCCGCTTGTCGCGGGGTCGGCACAGGCGCAGCCAACCCCCGAGAAGGACGGAGGATCGCGCCCACTGTGGCAAATGGCCATCCCTGAGCGTGGACAGGACCCAGGGATTTGAGGTGGCTGCCTCCCACTCCCGGAGGAATAGGGACAGCCGGCCGACAGGGACGGTGGCAAGAGGCAGTGCACCCCACCGCCCGGCAAGTCTCCGCCATGGAGTGGGGCAACAAGGGCTCTGGGGAATGAATCAGTGGGAAGCCGGGCTGGCTTCCCCTTGCCCTCAAAAGACTGCTGCGCTGGAGCAGGCTTGCCCTGCCTCTCGCGGCGCCTGCTCGGGCTTTGACTGCAAAGGGCAGCCCACTTAACATCCTTCGCCGAGGCAGAAGGGTAAGCGGACGAAGCGGGAGGGCCGATGGCAGGAGCCGGAGGGCTGCTCCAACAAAGGCTTTGAGTCCTTAAAGGTAGAGACAGCCTCCGCCGCCTCCCCGCATTCACCTGCAAGGCCCCAGGAACAGGGAAGATCCCATGGTATAGGGCAATGACAGTAGAGCTTGCTGTGTGGCCGCTAATACCGGGCCACAGACAGCCACAGGCGGCGCAGAAGCCCATGACGTTCCTCATCATCTGGCTGGCACAGCAATCAATGCTGTCCCGGAGCCAGATGCGCAGTGTACGCCCGCTAACTGCCGGCGAAAGCACCGACTCGGATGAATCGGCACCGCCAGCGCCAGGGCCACCAGCTGTCCCTGCAACGCCGACAGGTAGGCTGAATGGACTGCTACTTTAAGTTGTTGAGTTGCCAAGACCGTAACATTCTTCAATGACCGGTAGGCAGACTTCAGCCGCAGTGACGCATTCAGCCGGAAAAGGGGAGACGCTTGCCCTGCCTGGCCGAGGCCAGGGAAGACGAAGACGAATTCTCCTAACGCGGACTGAGGCAAAGACGATTCGCCCACCACTGGTGGTTCGAAGAGCGCCTCCGCGACCTAACTGGTACCGCCGGCCGATTTTCAGGCAAATCAAAACGCCGATCGAAAGTACCAGCCAGGAGCCGGATTCACCACCCACTGACCAGTGATGGGAGAATGCGCAAGCGCGCCTCTGCGACCTGGTTGGTGTAAACGCCCCCGGAGCCAAACTCCGCTGGGTCGGGTGCCGGACGGAACAGCCACCCGCGGCAGGACTTCGGGCGATTTTCTCCCGAACCTGCCGCAGGGACGCAGGGCAAAGGAGTACGGCACTTCGGGCCCGATTCCACCCGCCCCTTCCTCCTCCTCCATATCGACTCTTCGCAGAATCCTCGGCCGCCATAATCTCAGACTCCTGAGAGAGCGCCGAGGAGACGCCAGAGGCAGGACCAGAAAACTCATAAGGTCAAGAGGAGCCAGGGAAAACATCGCCCTGCCGGAGGAACTCGCGCCAGGTCGCCGAAGTCGCCTCGAGAGGAACCTGCCGCAACAGGCTTCCCGGCAACCCCGACTGGCTGCCGGGCCGAGGTATCCTCGAACTGGTCGGCGCCAGGCTTAATCGCCAGTCGACACCAGGCAATGATAGGGGCAACCCTGTATCGCCGGGCACCAGGCACCTGTGACAGACCAGTGCATAAAGCCAGGTCGCCACCAGACGCCGAGGGCATGCCGCCACCAGGGCCGGCCAGGATCAAGCCGCCCGGGAGGCGCTGCTCTCCGAGCCGAGCTCGGGCCGCGAGTTAACCCCCAGATGTGTCAGCCCCGCCGACGATCGGGCGCTGAGCTCCTTACGGAACCCCGCTAACGCCGTGATCAATCAGGGACTTGACTGATCTACATCTGCTCCTGGAAGAAAACGGTTAACTAATCAACAGGAACACTTTTACAGGTGCTGAATCAAGAGGGGTGGCGGGTACAGAGACGGAAGCAGTAGGAGATGCAGAAGGGGCATGAGTGCGTGAAGACGGCCGCCTTTGGTCGCCTTTAGCTTCTTGGGAGCCGGCTCCGCGGGGAAGCTGCCCCGTGGACCCCTTTTTACTATGGGAGCGCTTTGACGGGGATCCTGTGCCCAGAGATCACCCCTCACCAAGCAAGTTGCCGTAAAACAGCGCGGTCTATCCGCCCACCGAATGGTTTGGGGCGAGAACTTGGCACATGCCGCGACACCCCTCTTCCTCATGTTCCTTCTGCACTAAACAGCGTAAGCAGACCTCGTGGGTATCCCGCACGGGAATTGCAGCAAGGCACGGCACAGGGTTTAAACTGCAACAAGTAAAAACCTGTGCAGCAATCCTATACCCACATACAAATACATGTAAAAGACGCGATGGGCTGCATACTAACCACGCGACAACGTGAGCATGCAGTTGACAACCTAGTACATACTGCAGCATAACTAATAATTACGGGTTTTTAGCGTAATATAGAAAATGCGAAAGCAGTAGACATTTACGCCCTACACGCACAAAGATACAAATAAAAATCACTAAAACCACCTGTAACATTGAAAACCACAGGGGAAACCAATGAACAGGAAGGTTAGCTAAGGCACCTGTCCGCCATCTTGCCACGCACTAGCGAGCCGACCGCCGACAGGTACCAAGTTACAACGAAATTATGAATGAAAAAATTCAGAAAACACCTCCACCGCCCATGCCGGAAAAAAGAGAACCATACATACAGTTGCCGCTTCTGAAACACTCATAACTCTCTTAGTCGCAAGGAAAAACCTTCTGGTATGGACTCCACGCCTTGTCGGGTACAACGACAGCATGGAAAGTGAGGTACGAGGTTACGGTCCAGAGTTACCTGCTCTTGGCTGTAGGGGCTGGAAGGCCCTGTAAGGGTGGTCTCACAAGACAAAACGTAGTTTTGTTTTGTAAATATTTTATTCAAATATTGTTACAACTGTCGAGGGAATTTAAATGGACATTTAAATGCTTATAAGTACCCCAAGGAGGAATATATAAAAAGAATGTTAAACAGGGACATTTCAAACCTGTCTAGAGTACCTCTGCCACAAACCAGCAAAATGTGACAATTCATCAAAGTTTAATGTCTGACGACTGAGTTTGGTTTTAAGCCGCTTTTAGCAATATTCCAGCAACATTAGACCAGGGACACCATAAATGGGCTTCACACATAGTACCCATGAGGGGATTTGAACCCGGTCTCCAAGCGTGATGAGCCAACGCTTTAACCATTAGGCTACCCCACCGCCCCAAATTTTAATGTGTCCATTCAACCAATAACATGGGTGTTTTTGTATATGTTTCTTTTGTCATTACATCATATACCTTCACTGAGAGAATATCCTTTAACATTTTTATTTGCATATTTAATAATCGTTCAGACATCAAAGCCCTTCTGATAACTTGTGGCACTGTCATTCTCACATGTCCACAATATCATCACACTGTCATATCATAATTATGACACAAAGCAATCTGAAAATCTGAGATTTACCATTGAGGACCGCTATTTTAGAATTCATTTCTGTTTGTTTACAAATGAGACATTTCTGATCACATGATATGCAAAATAGCTTGATGCATAGTCATTGCCGCAGCCGGTCATAACACAGATAGAGTGTGTCAAGAGTGGTCACCTTCATTGTCCAGCTGAAGGCAGAGATGATTGGCTTCTCCTGCAGGGGTATCTTATCCCTGTCATCACGGAACACAGATGGTGCTGTGGAAATCAGAGAAGTATCTGAAATAGCAAAAGGTGAGGTGAGGTGAAATTGGGTTTAACGCCGCGGTTTTGAGAATATTTTGCTCATATGACGTACGCATGCGTGTGTATGTGTATGTAACGGCTGCTTGCTGGTTTTATAGTGCCAGCCCACTGAGATACCGTACCAAGCGAGTGAAGCATGAATACCCCACTCAGCCACATTATACTGACTCTTGAGTTTGCCCAGTCCTTTGTTGTACCCATTAATGCCTTCTGTTTTGCCAGGCTGGGACCAACAAGTACCATATTTTAACGCCTTTTGGTATAACGTGGTCGGGATCGAACCCGCGACCTTCCACTCCGGCAGACGCTTCTAACCACTACACCAGGGAGGTGGTCTAAATAGTAAAAGAATAGAGGAGTAAAACACTTGTTTGAAAAAAAAAAATTGTTTGGAAACTGGGAGCTCTGCCATACCGCCTGGGATTCAAACCAATAACTAGCAGATCCTGTCAGGGTTAGGGGATTCAACTCTGCACCATGCCAACACACAGGGCAAGAACAGCTTGGACAAACCTTACAGTACAGTACTAATTATTCTCCACTCACTGGTCCTGTGGTCTAGTGGGAAATGTTGAAAGGTTTCTTTCCCTGCTCAGTGATGCCATGACACTTCTGTTTTGATTATGTTCATGATTAATCAGTTTATTTCTTGCAGATGGCAATACACAGGAACAAGGTTGTTGCTTGATCAAAGCATGTTAAGGCTATTTAATCAGGCATGTTAGAAGTGAAGACTTGGAAATCTGGGTTGTCTGACATCACTCAGCCGCTGATCAGGATGAATGAATGAAAATCACTTGTGCCACTTTGATTATTTTATTTTCTAAATTAACTCACATGATATGACATGATGATCACAATCAAGTTCATATGCATCACTCTTATGAAACTCATACACACAGGCATGCACGGACAAGGCAAATATCACAATAAAAATTCCAACCAATGATCACCAGATCCCAGCTCGACCAAGGGAGGCAACTCTTCGTAGATACTTATTTGTGCTTTGAGCAACCATTTTTGTCCACAGAAGTGGAAATGAAAATCATTAGGTGGAGAAAATCATAAGGTTCAGTCATGGATAAAACTTTATCTGTCTGTTGATTACCTGGTTGAGAATCATCGTCTGTAACCATGGGAACAGTCTTGTTGAGGTGCGAGGTATCATGAGGGCAGTTAAGGAGGCTGTCAGAGTCATACTTTGGATGCTGGGCAGCCGAAGGTAACTGGGCTTTTGGCCGCTCAGTCTAAAGTAAAATTCAGTGTTTGTTAATTCATTTTGACAATAGCATAAAAAACAGTGTGTTATTTTTTTCTGTGGATGTCCAAGAATTCAAAATGAAAAACACAAATGAACCAGTAAATCTTAACTACAATAATGATTAGTGGTTTGATTAGACAGTCTGAACAATTAAGCAAGGAAACACCAATTTTTCTTCAATCCAGCACTAATGATTTCAACACCTCTCTCAAATTCCCATGGGATTGTGGGTAGCCTAGTGGTTAAAGCTGTCACTCATCACGCTAATGGGTTGGTCGATTCCCCACATGGGTACAATTTGTGAAGCCCATTTCTGGTGTCCTCGCCCGTGATATTGCTGGAATATTGCTAAAAACGGTAAAAACACATACTCAGTCAGTCAGTACTCAAATTCTGATATAGTTTTGTTTTTTCGAAAGAACTACTAACAATGTAAATGGAGTTAATAGTGACTGAGTGAGTGAGCATGGTTAAAACACTTTTTAGCAATATTCCACCAATATGACACCAGAATTGAGCTTCACATATGGTAACCATGTGGAGAATTGAACCGGAGTCTTCAGTGTAGCAAGCGATTGCTATAACCACTATACTACCCCAAATACCCTATATATATCAATCAGCTGCAATAACTTGGTCATGAATTCAGGGATGAGAATGAAGTTTTGAGAAAACTCTGAAAACTAGCCGGGGTGTAGCATCTATGGATTTACATGATTCACAAAAATTACCCTTGGCCTTATGAAATTCCCGCTCAGCCACCGCAGCTTCCACAAATCCCAATTAACACTTATCAGAGGGGTACACAAAGTCCGCAGTCTAGACTACCAGTTGTCCGACTTCCATGTTTGTGGAAGCCGCGGTGGCTGAGCGGTCTAGGCGTCTGGGTTTGTGTGCTGACGATTAGGTGCCGGACTCTGAGGGTGTGGGTTCCAATCCCGGATGGGACTCAACCCAAAAAAGTACTAGAATCTGTACTTTACTAAGAAAGTGTAATCCCAAATATAACATATGTTACATTTGACCACTTTGGTTAAACCCATGATCACAGGTATGGTGACAAACCTAGAAACAACAATCAACATGAAGCAACATTCAAACCCATAGGTTTTGCACTCCAAAGGGAGTCAGCTGTGCACAATGATGTGCCACCTGTGCCCTAGACTAAGGCTTAGTCTCTGAATATATATAATTTTGATAGTAACAAACAAGCCCATTTATATTGAAAAGGAGCCCTAGGGAGACCAGAGATTCAGAGACTAAGAACATCTGCATTGGGGCTACACGTGCTGCGGTCATTACCAATTAGAAGTCACATCATACAACCATCAGATAACGCTATAAGTGAAAGGCATATTTATTGGCCCTCCTGTTAAGCCCTGTCCTATCTCCATGCTGTCATCACCTCATGTGGGCCGGTCAAGTGCCCCTACTGCCTAACATTTTACTGTTGGGAAACTTGGTGCAAGATCTGTGTGGAACACCAACAAAATTATTTATGAATTTGAACTTATCTCCAAATTCAAAAGTTTCCATTTGTATAATATGCGAAGAGGATACAGATAACCACCTTTTTAAACAAACTGTTCAATGGAAGTGAAAAGGCCAGCCTGTCTTCCTCTTGAAGATGCTCTGGGTATTTCTAGATACTAGATCATCCTCACTAGATTTCACCTTGCATCGTCAAATCACTTAAGGTAAACAGATTTAATTCGAGATGCTGTGCCTTTTGAATTTGGTTCTTCACGAGAAGAAGGCGACTAACGGGTCGGGTGGTCAGGCTTGCTGACTTGGTTGACACATGTCATCGTATCCCAATTGCGTAGATGCTCGTGCTGTTGACCACTGGATTGTCTGGTCCAGACTCCTCGAGCTTATTTACAGACCACCGCCATATATGGAATATAACTGAATGCGGTGTAAACCCAAACTCACTCACTCACTCACTCACTCTTCAAGAGTACTAGGTTCCTGCCATATGTTTTACTGTTGAGCAATTAGATAGAAAAAGATACTCAAAACACCACGAGAGTTTCACACAATAATCTTATATCAGGAATAAGAAAAATAACCCTTGTTTTAATTACAATTAAATCCTTAACCACATTTACAATTGGGCTGCTATGTGTGGACCCAAGTCAGACAATGAAACAATACTTTTACAACATAACATTCAGGAGGAACCTTTCCCCAAGATTTTGCTTGATTTGTCTCTTCAAGACAAGAAACTGTGCACAAGGCCTCCACTATAGCTTCATGTCACCCAATGTGCTTGTTAATTAAGAGTTAACAGATGAAAATGTGAGGCAAGATTCCAGACCACTGGTGAGGATGTTGGTCCGGCCAGCCATGGTAGTTAGATATGTTTACTTTGTAATCCCGACCCCCAAAGTCAATTAATTTTCTTGCAGATGTTAACAGACCCTGAACATGAGGAAATCTAGACTTGCTTCAATTAAGGCTTTAGAATTGCAGAGAGGGCTTGGCAGTAGGGTAATTAATGTGGTTCAGGTGCTGTGAGACAGACTACCTGTGCCCCTACTGAACGTTTGACACCACTGACCTTGACAAGGGAGACACTTCTCGCCTCCATGATGATGCCGTGAATCTCGGACAGGTTCTGTCGGACGAGGGGAAGGATCGGCCTGCAGCATGCCAACACACCCTGCTGTTCCCTTGGCAACACCTGGGATGACTGCAGCAGCATGTGGTTTGGAAACACGTACCTAGAACATACACCAGCATCTGTCAACACCGAGGTTAGTTCATGCAATACCTGATTTTCAGCTCCGTTTGGTGATAATGTGACAAAGGAGTGAGTGAGTATGGTTTTGGTCGCTTTTGCAATAATCGAAAGCAATATCATGTCAGACAAAACCAAAACTGGGCTACATGTGGGGTTGAACGCGGACAAGCTAATTCTTTAACCATTAGGCTACCCCCTGTGACAAAGGACATACTGTGCTACAGATTCATCTTTGTACCCTTAGTTCTGGATTGCATTCCACAAATACCTCAAATACATAGCGATCAAAGCACTAAGATGCTCAAGTGCTGCAACAGACATCTTAGCACTAAGGTGATTTTAACTACCACTTTACCATACTAAAGTCTGACTTAAACTCATTTCATTTGTCAGTTCTTACATTCCCATAAAACAACGGGACTATTTGGTCACAGAATTACACTGTGGGTGACACTCAGTTTTGACCTTGACCTACCAGGGACTCTCATCCTCCTGCCTGGCCACCTTGTTCCGGCCAGGCATACAGATCCCGGAGAGCCTGGTGCTGCTGTGAGTTGAACAGCTTCTTGCTCTTCCTGTACAGGTCCAGGTACTGGCTCTCCTCAAACACCCGGCTTCCGAACACCTGCACATACGCACACACACAGACAGTTAGGAAGAGAAGATCACGGCATTTCAGTGGTGCTTCAGTTACAAGTGATGCTTGAATATTACATAGGGTACATTTGGAGTGTGTGTCAGCACTGTTGTGTTAATTAGCCAATCAGAAGCTACTCTGGCACAATGGCTGATAATTGTCTCTATCAACCAATCAGCTATCAAGACCTTTCCCTGATGAGATTTTAGGCACTGTTGTGTCAATGGACCAATCAGTTTTCAGGACCTTCACTGTGATGGATTTAGGCACTGTTGTGTCAATGGACCAGTTTTAGGTACTGTTGTGTCAATGGACCAGTTTTAGGCACTGTTGTGTCAATGGACCAATCAGCTATCAGGACCCTCACTGACCTTCCCAAGCAGAGATTTGGGCACTGTTAAGGCCAATGTACAGGTTAAGGCACTGTTATGGCAAACCAACCAATCAGCTATCAGGACCCACCCTGGTACAGAATCTCAGAGCACCCTTACGTCCAGTCAAACAATCGCACCTGTTACGCCAGTCAAAACCAATCAGCTATCAGGACCCACTCCACAGAATCAGGCACAGCTGGCTACAGACCCATCAGGCACTGTTACGTCAGTCAAACAATCAGCTATCATGACCCACCCTGGTACAGAATCAGGCACTGTTACGTCAGTCAAACAATCAGCTATCAGGTCCCACCCTGGTACAGAATCAGGCACTGTTACGTCAGTCAAACAATCAGCTATCAGGACCCACCTTGGTACAGAATTCAGTCAAACAATCAGCTATCAGGGACCCACCCTGGTCAACGTCAGGCACAAGTCAAACAATCAGCTATCAGGTCCTACCTTGGTACAGATTCAGGCACTGTTACGCCAGTCAAACAATCAGCTATCTCCCCTGGTACAGTATCAGGCCTGTTACTGGCCAGTCAAACAATCAGCTAGAGTACAGAATCAGGCACCCTTACGCCAGTCAAACAATCAGCTATCGGGCACTGTTACGTCAGTCAAACAATCAGCTATTAGGTCCTACCTTGGCACAGAATCAGGCACTCTTACGTCAGTCAAACAATCAGCTATCAGCACCTACCCTGGTACAGAATCGGGCACTGTTACGTCAGTCAAACAATCAGCTATTAGGTCCTAACTTGGTACAGAATTGGGCACTCTTACGTCAGTCAAACAATCAGCTATCAGCACCTACCCTGGTACAGAATCAGGCACTGTTACACGTCAGTCAAACAATCAGCTATCAGGTCCTAACCTTGGCACAGAGTCAAACAATCAAGGGCACTGTTACAGATCAGTCAAACAATCAGCTATCAGGTCCTACCTTGGTACAGGGCATTACGTCAGCACTCAGGTTACAGATTCGCACTTTTACGTCAGTCAAACAATCAGCTATCAGGACCCATCTTGGCACAGATTCGGGCACTGATACGTCAGTCAAACAATCAGCTATCAGGACCCACCTTGGCACAGATTCGGGCACTGTTTGACAGGACATGGTAGAGGAGGTTCTTCTGTTCATTGCCCTTCTGCAGCAGTTCGTTCTTCATCTTGTCGTAGATGTACAGCAGGTAGTGTGTGTCAGTCCTCGCATACTTCACCATAAGCTCCGGCAGTGGCCTGAGATAGATAGCAGCATATTCCTTAACAACATACAGGAATAAACGCCTCTTGTCCAAGCTGTCCACAGTATTACCTTACATACAAATCACCATATGTGGCTATGCTTTAATACTATAAACAAAAGGAAAGTCATTTTAATATCCAAAACAAATCAATGTAATCCTCAGTCAGTGTTTCCGCTGACTTTATTATTTATCAGACACTGTGTCTGGCGACCTAAAATTTTACTGGTCATGAATGAAATTTGCCGGTCACATCCTATTATCATACTGTAAGTACTCATTTTAAAGTTATTTTTAGCCTGGGTATTTCCGAAACATAACAATTTTTGCGACCATGAAAGCACAGCCAAGACTGTCATTTCGCTTACCCATGATTATTTTATTTTAATACATGATTATTTACCAGACACAGTGTCCGGCTGGCTTTCAATTTACCGGTCCCCAACGAATTTTACTGGCGATTTTCAGGTATATACCGGAGAACGGAAACACTGCTCAGTGCTGTACAATTTCCAAACTCTGTCTTGTCTCTCATATCTTAGCAAACATATCACTGAATAAGGACTTTGCCATTATAGTTTGTGTACCCAAACATTAACCACTAGTTTGATTTGTATCTACCTTTATTAACTGGGCCAAATGTCTCTCAAATAATATTGTAATAAACTTTTTCTGATTGGCTGCTGACATCATGTGACCTACCTGATCCTCCAATCAGCAAGCTGATACTTCTTGTCTGTAGTCACCTGGCAGTAGACATTAAGGAGGTGAGCCAGTGATGCTCTTGAATGTTCCAGAGTCCGAGCTGCCTCTCCTGTGTCGAACATGTTGACCACATACAAGTTGAAGTCACGTTGAAGCCACTCAATGTCCGAATGAGCACCATGGAAAACCTGACAAGAAGAGAAGCTGAGTGAGAAAAAGCGGTACTACAGCTTCATCAAGTCAAACACAGTTATTTTCCTAATATTAATAACTGTCACCAATCCCGGCAATGTAAATATTCCCCAATATTCCAGCAACAATAAGTATATATTAGTGGTGGTCTTGACTAATTGAAATAACCGAAGATTGGTCGACGTGACTAAACGACCAAGCAATCGATCATAATTTCTCATAATCGAACACAAACAATTTGGGAACACTTGTTTTCATTAACAATATTTTTCACATGGTTGGTTTTGTCTGTTACATTTCGTAAGCACTACAAGCTCGTTTCAAGTCATGATTGAATTTATCTTAAAGGCTCCAAGAAATTTATGTTCCTAACATACTAGTCATCCTTTAAAGATGTGAAATTTTGCCAAAAAGCCCCACATGTGCATCATTGTGGGGCAGGACTGAAGTCCTAGAAACTCTTGGGAGTCAATTGCAAGCTGCCAAACATGGTCACCCATCCAAGGATTCTCCGAGCATCTGCCGATTTGTGACCTGAGCTCTAGCACAGGACCACGCGCCACCACTCCACTGAGCATGTGCATGTTTTATCATAGCCCCAGTGCGTCAATGATGTTTGTTTGTTTGTTGTTTTACACCGCGATCAGCAATAGTCCAGCTATATGGCGGCAGTCTGTAAATAATCGAGTTTCGACCTGACAATTCAGTGGTCAATAGCATTAGCATCGATCAACGCTGTTGGGATATGATGACATGTGTCAACCAAGTAAGCGAGACTGACCACCCAGTCCCGTTAGTTGCCTCCTATGACAAGCATGGGTTACTGAAGACCAATTCTAACCCGGATCTCCACAAGTATGTGTGTCAATGATGTAGTCCTTACCTTGACAATGTTTGGATCTGTGAACACTTCATTAAAGATGTGCATGTTGTGTCGGAGCTCCAGTGTGTCGATGATGTAGTCCTGTTCCCGTGTTGACACCTGCATCAGGCATGTCAGCCCTTGAAAACTCCTGTATGTATGGGCCTGGACAAAAAATAAAAAACGATACTAAACCTTTTGAGATTCATAGTGTCATGATACAACTTAAATAATAAGCCACTCCCTAATCTCGTGTAATATCGCATGCAATGAAGGCTCCCTGAGCACATGTGTTTGACGCCCGCCATGTTATGAGTCGCCAGATTGTCCTGGTCAGTGTGTACCTGCCCAAAGGGAACTATGACGAATAAACCGAATGAATTGGAAGCCTCTCATGTTATCACACATAGTACACAAAGAAGTGATGTGAAATGGTGTTTCAGGTACATTTCAAGATAACTGCACCTGTACAACAGATATGCAGTGCATGATTCCTTGTACTTGTCTAAAAATCAGTTTTACAGGGCAATCTCACTGATATGCCATGATGAAGTTCAACTTGAATACCTCGCACAAGCACAGGATTCTGAGCCCAGCAGTTCCTGTTTTATCTACTTAATGCTGAGCCCCAAGCTAGGCAATAAGTACCATCTTCAAATATCTATGCTGTCACATAGCTGGGAATTGAACAACAAATGTTCTGTCCTTTGGAGCAGATGCTCTGTACCCCTGACCACTGAGTGTAAGATGCTCTGTACCCCTGACCACTGAGTGTAAGATGCTCTGTACCCCTGACCACTGAGTGTAAGATGTTCTGTTCCCCTGACCACTGAGTGTAAGATGCTCTGTACCCCTGACCACTGAGTGTAAGATGCTCTGTACCCCTGACCACTGAGTTTAAGATGCTCTGTACCCCTGACCACTGAGTGTAAGATGCTCTGTACCCCTGACCACTGAGTGTAAGATGCTCTGTTCCCCTGACCACTGAGTGTAAGATGCTCTGTACCCCTGACCACTGAGTTTAAGATGCTCTGTTCCCCTGACCACTGAGTGTAAGATGTTCTGTACCCCTGACCACTGAGTGTAAGATGCTCTGTACCCCTGACCACTGAGTGTAAGATGCTCTGTACCCCTGACCACTGAGTGTAAGATGCTCTGTACCCCTGACCACTGAGTGTAAGATGCTCTGTTCCCCTTACCACTGAGTGTAAGATGCTCTGTTCCCCATACCACTGAGTGTAAGATGCTCTGTACCCCTGACCACTGAGTGTAAGATGCTCTGTTCCCCTGACCACTGAGTGTAAGATGCTCTGTACCCCTGACCACTGAGTGTAAGAAGAACAGGAACTGTTTCAACCAGCTTCTGAATTAAGAATTTTGAATTGTACAATATAATGTGATATGTATCCTAGATTACATGTCAAACAACCAACTGTGACAATGCCCTAAGCAGTATGTTCACTTCTGTGACTGTAGTGAGTGAGTTTAGCTTTACGCTGCTTTTAGCAATATTCCAGCAATATCACGGCGGGGAACACCAGAAATGAGCTTCACACATTGTACCCATGTGGGGAATCGAACCCAGGTCTTCGGCAAGACGAGTGAACGCTTTAACCACTAGGCTACCCCTCTGTCTGTAGCCACAACAGGTGAATGTGTATAAACATTGAAGAAATGTGTGAATCTGTTGATCACATGATCTGCTCACCTCCAGATCTATTGCGAGCGCTGGAACAGTCTTCAGACGGTCACACAGCTTCTTCAGCTCTGACTCGGAGTCGATGACTGTCAAGGGAGTTGATTCAATTGGACGAGGATCCTGGAAGCATAAAAAATGTGAGGTCTGAATGGTAACTACTAGTGCGTGAGTGAGTGGTTTTATGCCGCTTTTAGCAATATTCCAGCAATATCATGGCGGAGGACACCAGAAATGGGCTTCACACATTTTACCCACGTGGGAAATCGAACCCGGGTCTTCAGCATGACGAGCAGATGCTTTAACCATTAAGCTACGCCACCCCTGGTAACTACAAAATACTGGAGTCAGTCTGGCTGACAATTCGATACAAATGTCACCTCTACCAACCAACACAGATTGCTGGGGAACAGACGATCCAGTGATTGATATAATGAACAACTATCCAAGATGTCAGGTACACATCATCAACCAAGTCACCTGGCTGACAACTTGATACATGAATCACTTCCACCCACCAGCACAGATTGCTGGGGAACAGACGATCCAGTGATTGATATAATGAACAACTATCCAAGATGTCAGGTACACATCATCAACCAAGTCACCTGGCTGACAACTTGATACATGAATCACTTCCACCCACCAGCACAGATTGCTGGGGAACAGACGATCCAGTGATTGATATAATGAACAACTATCCAAGATGTCAGGTACACATCATCAACCAAGTCACCTGGCTGACAACTCAATGCATAACATAGGTCACTCCTACCTACCAACACAGACAATCCAGTGATTGATATCATTTTCCTGGCTGTCGGGTACATGGACAATAATAGGTCAAGGAGCTAGCCTGAGTTAGTGAATGAGCGAGTTTGGTTTTACGCCGCTTTCAGCAAAATTCCAGCAATATCACAGCAGGGACACCAGGAAGGGCTTCACACACTTTACCCATGACGGGAATCAATCCCAGATCTTCAGCGTGACAAGTGAACACTTTAACCACTTGCCTACCCCACCTCCCCAAGCAAGCCTGAAGAAAGAATCCATAAATCACCTCAAAAGGTACTATTGGTAATATCACTGATCCCAAAATTATAATCCTGTGAAGGAGTGGAGCGGAAATGGAGGGCTTCTGGTAACACTCAAATCCCACCTTTGCCGGGGGTACCAATAATGACATCTTTTGTGCAAATGTGAGAAATAGAACCCACTGTTTTCAGCTTGATCTGTAAATCCTCTAACCTCTATGCTATTTCAAAGAACCACCCAATGTTACCTGAGTGACAACGATTTTTGTTTTACACCGCTTTCAGCAATATTCAAGCAATAACACGGCAGGGGACACCAGAAATGGGCTTCACACATTGTACCCATGTGGGGAATCGAACCTGGGTCTTCAGCGTAACGAGCAAAAGCTTTAACCACAAGAATACCCCACCGCCACTTTTCCCTCCTGAAACACTGAATGCTAATCAACCCATACCTGTGCTTCTGTCTCCATCACTTGCTGGGGGTGATACTGTAGGTGATCAAGCTCATATTGATAAGGATGTGGGTAGCTGTAGCAAATTGAAAAACAAATAAGTTCTGGTTGTTGCTGGGGTGAGTGAAAATAACACACCAAAAACATTTTCACAACATTTCCACAACATTTCAGCATTGTCAACTTTAATCCAATCGTTCAAAAGGTTTTAAAATTAGGTTAGTATGCTGTGACCATTTTATTATTTTATAACTTTTAAAAGAATTCTTTAAACAATTTTTATGACAATCACCTAAAACGAACAAGCATTCAGTAATTTCATTTCCACAACAAGTCACACAATTTATTAAACACTTCAAACAAAAACTGGATGTACACCACAAAAATATGTCTCATAATAAGCTCATAGTCAAAAAGTCACAGCACTCAACTTACACAAAATTAGGACCCTCCATATCAAGCGGTGTGACTTTCTCTGGTAACCGCAAACTGTCTGTTCAAACCAAAAAAAATCATCTTGTCACCCCTAACAGAAAATATTGCAAGAAGATCATAGATATTTCCAGCTTATGTGTTTCTGTATTGCAAACATCAAATAAATGTAATTTTTTAAGAAAAATTGATATTTTATACTTATCCTGACTCATGATCTTTGCTTATCTCCCTTTTCATTCCAAATGGTAGTGGAACACTTTAATCCCTTGAAGTTCCCGAAGCGGACGTACAATACTCACCCACGAGTTACCTCCCTTCCTCTTTCCTGCGCAAACGTACCATGTGACGGCCCAGACTTGTCACTCTTCCTTAAGCCCACACGGATGGTTGGGCGAGCACTGAGTCCCGTATACGGCAATCTATTGTCTATATTTAGGCCTATTCTTCTAAATTAAGCTGTGTATGGTTTTGGTTATAATTACGATGGAATTTATTGACTTTGAGTCGTGTTTTCATTGTGTTGTAACTTTGTTTACAATTCATGAAATCTTGTTGTGTGTGTAAACACAGGTTGTCGCTGGCTGATCCTCACCCCCAATGTCCATCGTGTACGGATCCATGTTCATCCACCTTGCGTTGTAGCTACTGTGTTGATTTAACTGAATTACACTTTAATCACTACCATTCGGAAGGAAAATGGAGGTAAGCAAAGATCATGAGTCAGGATAAGGAAAAATAAGAAATTATGAAAGCCTGTGGTGTAGGTAACAGGTAAATACTACTTATACACAACATCTCTTGTGAATATTATTCCATTTAATACACCACTGGAAGTTTGCTTCCATAGGACAAGTCCCAGGCTCCATCCCACAATTGGGAATTTTAAGTATAAATTGTATATTTATATACTTATCCTATCTCACGGTATGCACTTCTCTCTCTTGCTTCGACACTGAGTGGAATGGTGTAAAGTTTTCTCCAAGGCCTCTCTTGTCCATTCACCCAAGCACTCCATGCTTCCCTCCTTATAAGACAGCTTCCTAGATGTCAATTACAGCACGCAGCACGCCCCACTATCTACCCACTTGACCACCTTTGAATCATTTTCTTGTTCTTGGAGCCACAACATAATCTGAGTAGCAGTGAGGTTGGGCGGGAATCCATCGCGTGAGATATAAATACACAATTTATAGTTAAATTTCCAAATTTTTAAACTTATCCTATCTCACGGTATGCACTTATCCCACGGTCGGACGGCGGGACGCAGATGCCCTATGTCTTGACAGTGCCAACAGAAGGTAACTAGTAACTGGGTGATGGGTGCTCCCAAGCGATGTGGTGTTCAGCTGCAACCTCCGAAGAAAGGCAGGATGCAACTCGATAAGTAAGGCCTTGCCTCGCCACGATCTACAAGGTACCCCCAGTAAATGAAAGTCTTTCGACAATGATCGGGCCAGCCCCTGCTTCGATAAGACCCCCACAGACACCAACCAGGGGAGGCTGAAAGAGAAGCACAACTCAGAAAGCTCACTCGTTTAACTTTTAGTTCCAGTCAACATCAAATTGATCCTCACTCCTTTACATAAGCTTAGTCAAAGGATGACCCTGGCAACTTCATGATCAGCCCGGCCTCTTGTTGGTCGAGATAGTGAGCTCCCCAAACCATGAGGAATACATTATCGAACAAATGATGAGTCGGTATAGAGACTCCAGCGCAGACATTCAGTTCGTCGAGCCACTGAAGGACTGGACGAATCGGTTCTGGAAGGCGAATCAGTTCCTTGGAGTTGTCGACCTGGAGATACGAAACGCATCACTGGATCTTGATCCACCTGTGCTGACGGTTGTCAAACAGCGCACAAATAAATTGGAGTCCCTGGGTCCGTTCTAGTTTGATTCTGCGACGTTCGGCAGCCACCCTAACAGCCGAAGCAGCTTGGTGGTGAACTGCAGTTGGCGAAGGAGTACTACTGGGTCCTGTTGCGCCTGAATGCAGTCGTCTATGTAGCTTCCGAAGGTGATCCTTGAAAGCAAACGAAACTCATGATCAGCCTGGTAATACAGGTAGAAAGGGTCGTGGAAATTCCAAATGGTAGGACCTCCCACTGTTATGGCTCCCGTTGAACATGAAGTGAAGGTAATTCCGGTGCTCTGGATGTTGGCGTCCTGAAGATCGAGGCTGATGAGGATGTCTCCCTTCTTCATAATAGTAGCGTAGTTCCAGTGGATTAAAGCCTTGGGGCTGTTGGCCTGAAGTTGAATTCTGTAAGTGAAGGCTTGAGCAGATGTGAGGAGGTCTAGCAACTCTTGCCACTGATATCACTAGAGATAGGAACGTTCATTTAGTCGAGTGAATGTAGTAGGTTCGGCACATGGAGATTGTCAGTCAATCTACAGGAGCGTTCACATTGTAAACGGAGTGATGGAGTTCGTACGATCTTAGGAACATTATGACTCACCAAACAAAGTGATGGTTCGCCAGGTGGTGTGATAAAGGTAGTAGATCGCTGCTTGAGGACCATCCGGATATAACTGCAGTGACCTCTGAACTGAGTGCTTGGGCTAATGCAGAATACTGAGTAAAGTCGAAGCGTTTCTGTCTGACACCCTCGGTAAGCAGTCTCTCTCAGCTGGCTGACGATCCCGACACAATCACTCTTACTGGTAATTGCACCATTCATCGTACAGGCAAAATTAAAGGCTGGATAGTTATCTGACTCGTGGGACCAAGACAAGTCTGTCAGGGCACTTTATAGTCACTCTAATCATCAAAATTCTTGATAAACAAACAGTTGTCCGCCATGTGCGTCATCCACGATGCAATAGTTATAAAAATCAGGACCACATGATCTTCAGTTAATCGGGCGAGTCACAACCCATAAAATCCGGGCTAAAGGATTCTAGCTACTTGACAAGACATCACTGCTGGTACCATGCTGGTAAGTGCTGATGATGTACAAGACGAACCAAGCCAAGATTGCACCCAGGGATACACCACAACACTGTTACGAGTAGTAACTGTAGGAACCTGCAGCTGGCTTAGCCCGAACCATGAGAACAAAGACTAGGTTTGATGTGGGTTAAGTGTCTTCGGAGGCATCCCAGACACAAGTAGGGTAGGCTCTGATGAACCAGTAGACTGGGAATCTTCCGTGTTGGAAGTAGCACGAGACAACAGTGGGGATTCACCAAATTAAGCTGATTCGGTGTATCAGCTCAGTTGGTAGGCAAGGTCTGAGGAACAGATGATTGACGAATGCTGACAGTTCGATGAATGCCCAGACATCTTGAACGGTTCAGCGAAAGGCAGAATGGAGAGGTGCGATCCGGCAAACTATGATTCGACGAATGTGTTGGTTTTGGTGAAATGGATTAGGCATCGGAGCACATCGAAATTTCCTGAGATCTTCAAAAATACAAATCGGAGGAAGCACTAATAAAATGTCGAGTGAGGAGACTGCAAACCGACGAGCAACGATAATGGGACGCATGATCTTGGCTTTCTTGGCGTGGCTGGGTCCTTGTTTTTTCCTCTTCCTGGGCTGGACGGTCTTTCCCATGATGTAGAATGGGAGATCAAGCGATGAAGTGTAAAACACGTCCACACTCAGGTGCGACAAGAACGAGAATGATTAAAAGATGGTCACGTGGGTAGATAGTGGGGCGTGCAGCATTCTGTAATTGACAACTAGGAAGCTGTCTTATAAGGAGGGAAGCATGGAGTGTTTGGGCAAATGGACAAGAGAGGCCTTGGGAGAAATGTTTATGGCCACTTACCTGCAAGAGACTGTTGAGCATTTGGTTTGTATTTAATCCGTGGAATGAAGGGTCGATTGCTGTTGTCAATCTTCATTTTAAACTTGAGTTGGGGACGTTCAATGTTCCGTGCTGCCAGCAGTCTGTAGGTGTTCTCCCCCCGCTGTGCTCTTCTCCTGAAATAGCAAAAGGAGTGAGTGTTGTTTTACGCCACAGTCGGATGGAACTTCTGATGATTGAAATACATGAAATGGAAAACAAAATGTTTGTTTCTGAATGCCTTTCACAGAAACTAGTACCGAGTGTGTGTTCAAGGAGCAAGGCCATTAAGTTAACTTAAGGCATGTTTGTTCTGATGATCATGATGATTCCACACTGGAGACAATCCACAATAAAAATAATATTCAGGTTTCTCAGCCAGCATTATCTAAATTCATCAAAGTAACTGCGGAAACTACCTTTTTTGTTCCAACTAGCAGCTGTTGGTGTCCTTGTTGTTGCAGTGGCAAACACCAAGTCAGCCTCTGGTTTCCTGATGCCTGAGGCTTCATCCAGACTCGAACCCTGATATAGAAGTCAGTCAGTCATTTATGGGGTACAAATGTAAATGCATATGTCTTATGTATATGCAAAAGCGTAGGGATATAATACCAAACTCAGCTTTATGTTTTAATTCATTTTATTCATATTTCATAAAATATACCATTCTATACAGTAATTTTTTTTATCCTTGTGCACGTTTTACAGAACTTAGTCTCACATAACTCCTTATAGGAGTGGCTCAACTTTTATTGCTTTTTTGTACTGAATCTATTTTATGCTCAGGTGAGACTCAAACAATCTGTCTGTCTGTCTGTAAAATATGGCAAGCACACTTTATTAATCAGCATTGTGAATTACAACACATGTGTGCACAAAAATTCGAATAACAACTTCCAAGAATATGTATTTAATCATTCTAAATAGACGAAAAAAATAATATGAACCAGTGACACTTTTTGTGCAACAAGACAACACAAGCCCCATCCAAAACAGTTGGTGTGTCAATGTTTATGTTGATAATGCAGACATAAACACAAAATAAATGAAAAATCAATCAGTCAAGCATGATCAAATGCCATGTAGCCCCTTGCAATCCACTGAATAACAACCTAAATTCAGGATAGATTGATCTCCCTGATCTGAAATCTGATACTTGACAGTCTGCCAGCCAAGCAAACTAAACTTTCCGAACATTAGTCATGAATAAGTGTTGAAAAAGGTTTATTTTGGGGGGATATGAGAAAGGTGATGAAAAAAGATCTTTTCAATGCTTACCACTCTCTCAAGAATCTGATCATTGGCATCCATGACAGCATCGAACTTGTCCTCAAGCTCAATAGCATCACTGTTGGTGGATATTTTGGCCTTGACATTCTGTTGGCGTAAGATGCTCTCTATCCTGAAATATATTTATCACAAACAAGATACAATATGCTGATAAGTACCATGAACATCATTTGTGCCAGACTTATCAGGTAGCAGTGTTTTACCGTTTGATGATCAACTTTCCGTGACCATGTTCACAATAAATGACAGAGTGTGTGAGTTTAGTTTTACACCGCACTTAGCAATATTCCAGCTATATGGCGGTGACCTGTACATATTCGAGTCTGGACCAGACAATCCAGTGATCAACAGCATGAGCATTGATCTACACAATTGGGATATGATGACATAAGTCAGCAAGCCTGACCACCCGATACTGTTAGTCGCCTCTTCCAACAAGCATGGGTTACTGAAGATCAATTCTTCACGGGTTGTAATTGACAGAGTCTCAGTTCAGTAGCCACTTACGAACATGAGGTAATCAATGTATGTATAAAATAATATTAACTTGAAAAACTTATAACAAGCAAGGCTTACAGCTGCAAGATTCTCCTGCCCTCAATGTCTAGCACATCCTTGACAGATCTGTATGTAGAGTAGAAGTCATAGTCATCGCCTGTTGGCAGGCTGTTGGAGGATCGTGTGGCTTGTAGAACACTTTTCAAGACAGTCTGAAAAATGGACAGAGTAAGGGTATATACATATATCATAGTGACAGAAATGGAATGATTCTGGAACCACAAACCCAGATGTCTCCACAACCTTCGTAACTTCCATTCTCTACCAATAGCCTTCGATCATCCTCATAATAAGAGTCCTTTATTGGAGGGCCCATGATTCGTAAGCACATGTTAAAAAAACATGTCTTGAATTGTGACAGTTAACACTAACAGTCCTCTGTTAATACTATCTCAATGCTATCATTATCTCCCATCGGGTAGTATCTGGGTACCAGATCGGATGAGCATGATGAGCTGCACATAACATTCCACTTGGCCCTTCTCACATGTTCATGGCAATGTACCTTGGTGAGATGACCAGGCTAACAAACTATCAAAAATTACTTTACAAAATCTACGAGGGAGTCTTGTGCAGTGATGTGCAATATGTGAACATCAATCAGGTCAATTCGTTCAAATTTGAGTTTTGGAAAGATTCTGACGGACTGTACTTGGTAGTTCAGCCAGCTAAACGTGGCTGGTACTTGGCTGACCCTCCCTAAAGATCCCTCGGGATCGCAGAGGTGCACATAATTCCCTTATGATCTTCAAGAGGTGTTTGATCAGAATAGAATCACAATGCATAGGCACTCGACATTTGTTAAGGGAGAGTCAATGTCGGCAGTCTGAGCCAATCAACTCAACAGTAAACTCTGGTAAACTGCACTCTTGAGTTGCGTTTTGATTGCACCAAACCAGAGACCAAACTAATGTGTGGTGGACATCATATAAAAGCGTACCCCTCTCCATGTAAAAGTTATTTTGGGTACCTGTGAATATTCATTGATGTCAGCATATCCCGGAATGATCGGTTTACTTTCACTGTTGTCGTCTTTCGCATCGTCGTTCTCCATGCTTTCATGGGACGCCGCCATTTTGATCCGAAAATGTAAAGCTAATATCATATCTGTTCAGTTTGGGAAATGAAAAATGACAGTTTCATTCCACCCATGAAAGTAGAAATAATAATAAGTACTGAATTAGAATATTTGTAATCTTTAGAGGACATATTATTAATCAATTTGTACGAAACGTACGCAGTAAGTTTCTCGACTGGTTGGTCGGACGCAAGGAAAGTAACGAAATTTGAATTTAGTCTAAAATAATTATTTTGAAACGATTCTAAATGCTATGTCACAGGGCAATGCCTCAAACATACATTTAACTACCAAAAACAGGCATGACAAGGTATTGTTACTTGTCCGATTTTACCTGAAACATTTCCAATTTTGTTGTTATTGTTGGTAACCAAGTGTGATTCAATGTGTCACCTGTTTTCGAGACCCCAAATTCATTTGTGAAAACGTGAAGTGAAACAACATCCTACCCTTTGGAAGTGTCATTCAAAGCATTTTATTTTGAGATCAATTCATTATTCATTATGAAGATCCGGGTTTAAATTGGTCTTCAGAACCCATGCTTGCCGAGTGTACCGTTAGGCGACTAACGGGATCGGGTGGTTAAAGGTTTGCTGACTTTGTTGGCACGTCAACGTTTCAAAAATGAGTAGATCAATGATCATGATGTCGATCATTGGATTGTCTATATGCTGTCACTGGACAAGTGGGATATTGCTGAGGGGGGCGTTAAACCACACCACACATCCAGCCCCACCCATCCAATCCCCTTCCCAGAAGCAATCTGACAATATCACAGTTTCTTAAGCGAAATAATTTTTTTGTATAACAATGATACCTTTGATGATATTAACTTTGGGTAGTTTGGCTTACATGTCAATCATATTTAAAAGTACATTTTCAACTGACACCTGGATCAAGTACAACAATTGGCAAGTTTTATTGTCAAAGATTAGAATGTGGCCCAGTTGAAGTTGCAACTTTAACTGAGATCCATCATTGTTTCAGATAGACAGAGCAAGCATCAACCATGGCAGCAGCAAAGGGGGAGACACACGTAAACTGGGAACCTGTCGTACCTCTAGGTCCTGAACTAGCGTTTCACACAGGCTGCATCATCAAAAACTGCTTATATTTACATGGTGGCATAACAAGCCAAGGAAGCACCAGCCCATCAGGCAAACTACATCGACTTGACCTATCTCAGCAAATATGGGAAGTAGTGAATGCTTCTGGTAGTCCTACACTTAGTCACCATGCTTGCATTGCATTAAATGATCGATATGTTCTTCTCATTGGAGGCTGGGATGGCAAATCCCGAACAGGAACGTTGCATGCTTACGATACTGCAGCCAATTCATGGCTGTGCCCTGAACAAACTGGCTTCCCAACTGACGCAGGCCTCAGCTCCCATACTGCTAATCGTATGGGTGATGGCAGCATCTTGATTCTAGGCAGGGAGGGAAGCAGACGCACCCAAAGACGAACTGGAAATGCTTATTTACTACAAGGTAGTGTTGAAAAGGGATTTACATTTTCTGAATACAGTCGGTCAACTACGTCACGATCTGGTCACAGCACACACATAATTGGATCAAAACTGTATGTCATCGGCGGTAGAGATGATAAACTGCTCGAGTTTCAAAATGGATTTTCCGATGGGTCCATTGGTCCAGCCACATCTCTAAAAAATCTTAACACCCTCGGCAAACAGTTAAAACCCATGTCTAAATTACCATGTGGTCGAAGACATCATGTGTCAATGTATGGATCAGACGTCATTTTTGTTCATGGTGGAGAAACATTTGATGGCAGGAGTAGAGATCCTGTTGGTGAGATGTTCTTTGTAAAGTTGAAACCAGAAATAACCTTTTACAAACTAGGAGACTGCCGTGTTAAAAGGGCTGGGCATATTTGTTTTACTGATGGAGAGCATGTATACATCCATGGGGGAATTACTGGTAAAACATCAGTGTGCGGAGATTTGCTAAAACTTGTTGTGTAACCTTGGTAATTGTATCTGTTGGATTTGTTTCCCAAATCTATTGCCTTTATTCAGTCTTGGATCAGACAGTCAGTTCTCTGTGAGAGAGGGAAAGTGGAAGGAACAGAAATCTAAGGTGCTGTAATTCATTATGTGGAGTTGTATCTCTTTGCTTCGACTCGAATCCAAGATCCAGTGTCTTTGTGAGTGAGTTGGGTTTTACGCCGCTTTTAGCAATATTCCAGCAATATCACAGCAAGGGTCACCAAAAATGGGCTTCACATTGTACCCATGTGGGGAATTGAACCCTGGCATTCAGTGTGACGAGCGAACACTTCAACCACAAGGTTGACACAAGTCATCGGTTCCCAATTGTGCAGATCGATGCTCATGCTGTTGAGCACTGGATTGTCTGGTCCAGACTCGATTATTTACAGACCGCTGCCATATAGCTGGAATATTGCTGAGTGTGGCGTAAAACTAAACTCACTCACACACTGGTTTTAAATAAGTGCAACATGTTTCAAGACCTATGTTACTTCGGGCTTCCCTCCCAGATCAACCAGACAACTTCAGTATTCTTCACTCACTTCCAGTAGGGTAAACAGTAGCTGGTTTCCCTCTCACAAATCAGGACACACCGAATACTTCTTGACAGATCCGTGTCATCCATATATATCATCATTCAATATTTTTGTGATGTTAGAATATGTGCCAATAAACAACTTCATCTCCACAAACATCAACAATGTTCTTTATTCAGATTAACAGATTCATAAAACTCAAATGACTTGAGTAATTTGGGCAAGAAATTATTCAGTCACAAACAATGGCAGTGATTTGTGAAAGCAGGTAGGATTCTTTCAACATCATCACTCACTCAATGGCAAACTTAGGAAAATGGATCCTGATAGAAACAACAATTTGTCTTGCCAGTCATCTGTTGTATCTTAAAATACACATTACGTCACGTCAGAATTAAGCATGCTTGACAGATGTCAAGTAATAATAAAATCAGTAAAAAGCTTGACAAGGGACCCAACACAACCATAGCACTGTGACTGCTTTCTGTGTAGTTATTGTGTTCAAGCCATGTGATAAGGGCATATAAATAATGGAGTGTGAAACAAGACAATCCAGTGATTGAAGAGCAGCGATCGATGCCAATGGTACAATGATCAGAGTCTGACCAATCAGTCTATCATTTGCTTGCTGAAAACCAGTTCTTACTCCAAATCGCCACAGATTTCTATGTGAAACAGGGTACTTCTTCAGTTTGTCTGTTGTATAAAGGGTAACAAATGGTGGTGTAACAATATGGTAGGTAGTACAGTATTGTATCGCAGTACAAGGTTCACAATATAATACATCGATTTAATACTCCTGTACATACAATGCATTTAATGATAAGTTATATTGATGGATATGAGTGAGTTTGGTTTAACACCGCTTTTAGCAATAGTCCAGCAATATGGTGGGGGACACCAAAAATGGGCTTCACAGATTGTACTCATGAGGGGAATCGAACCCAGGTCTTCAACGTGATGAGTGGACAAATGATTTGAAAACAAATGATTCAGAGTTGTGATTCGCTTTAAAAAAATGCACAAATACAAACTTAATGAAATGAAAATCCTGCATCAGGAGAGTATAGCACCCATATTATTGGGATACGTATTGTATTGGAGCCTCACCATTAACAAATGATAAATATACTGTAACAAAGAAAACTGAAGAGAAAAAAAATATTGAATGTCTTTTTATAGTGTTGTCACAGGGTAATATAACATTATGATTACTGGGGGAAAATCAGTGTGCTTAAGGTCTTTATTTTCCTGAGTACTTAAGGCAATCGGGATAAAGTTATAAATACTTGTCATCTGGGGTTTGCTTAAGGCACTCAGGACAAGGACAGCCCCAGCTCCGGTTATGAGGTACAGATCTACATATAAGAGACAGACTGACCCAGCATTGGTTTGGAGGTAGAGCTCTTCTGATAAGAAAGTGAGTGATTAAGTTTAGTTTTACACTTCTGTTAGCAATATTCCAGGAATATCACAGCTGGGGAACAACAGAAATGGGCTTCAGTGATTGTACACCTGTGGGGAATCGAACCCGGGTCTTCTTCATGACGAGTGAATGCTTTAACCACTAGGCTACCCCACCGCCCCACTGATAAGAGATAGTGTGAGAGTTAAAGACAAAGGTGAGAGCCAGAGGTGAAAGGAGCTAGTTTTGGGTGAATGTTCCATGTGTCTCATCACGCTGATAATAACTAAACTGAATTGAACTCAATACACAGTTGTGTTTTCATTACTTGGTCACACTATAATAAAGTTTGATGATGATGATGATGTTAGTGATGGGAGTCTGGGCAACAGCAAGTCAACGTGTCTGAGCAGCTGAGCAAGCTGAATCCGTGATTCCCAGGGATAGCAGGTATGAACACCTAGGTTCTCTGAATAGTTACTGAACTTGCAGAAGAATATGTTTGGAATTAGTGACATTCTGTAACCACACTTATTTAACAGTTTAAATGATACTTCTTGTTAAAACAACAAAACAGAATATTGACAACACAACCAAAAATAGGTTTCAACAGCCACGTATTACATTCATCAATATGTTGCTTCTTACAAGACCATCATTAAATAGTACCCAAATACCTGAGTATTTTAAACTTGGATGATGGTAAGAACGAGGTTATGTGAATCAGACAATGTGTGGCTAAAATGCAGCATCACAGCCATTTCTGCCAGATGATCATTGTCTTTAAAGAAACCCAATGGTGGAATCAAGGGGGGATAACTTGGACAGTGCTTTCATCTCACCAGCCCAACCATAAACAGAATGTGTCCAAATTGGCACACTATCTCAAAATGTTGTCTTAGGAACTGTTCAAAATTTATGGCTAGGGGGGTGATGATGACTATGACTATGGAGAAGCATGTACAATGTGAATGAGATCAGTCACAACTTCAATCAAACTAATCAACCATCCGGTACAAAGAGTGTCACCATTTTTAAAGCATCACAAAAAAGACAAAGACTCCCATCCCGCCACACCTATATGCATATTTAGGAGTTTTTGTTCTTGTTTCTTCAATATAGAGGCATGTTGTCCCATTCCAGACATTTGCAGTGGAAGTGATTCATGACGAGATATTTAAACAGCATCCATTTTTTAAGGGTGTCACCATTTTGCAAGCATCAAAACAAAAGCCAAAGAATCCATCCTGCCACACCTAGATGCATAGTTGGGCCTGTTTTTGTTCTGGTTTCTTCAACATAGAGGCACGTTGTCCAGTTCAAGACGTTTGCAGTGGAAGTAATTGAAGATGAGATATTTATCAAACTTTGAGAACAGCATCCATTTTTTTAATCCAGGGGCTCACTCCAAACATTCCACTTGCTACAGTACCAGGATACACCTGGATGATGCAGCTGTAGAGTCAGACCTGTATCTGGATGCTGTGCTTCCTGATGACACGACACAAGTCGGATCTTCTGACATTAACGAGGTGAACTTCAGTACCTGTCATCAAAGTAGAAGACATTCTCGGTAAGGTATCTGATCATGTGGCGTTTCTCTCTGATGATAGCATCCATCTCGTGCTGAACACGCATCAGGGCATCTCGGGATACCTGTCTACAGCCAGCATCCCATTCTGTCAACAAAAGAATGGATGTCAGTTACATCATCCTCAAATACTCCGTGAATCATATTTTCATTTAATACTTCTCAACAAAGAGTATCAGTACAGCTCTACTACTTCCCTATAACACATTCATGCCAATCTACTTCACAGTGTCAACTGACATTTGCCTGTAATTTCTCACAACCAACCCTCAAACATGGAGTATCAGTACTGTTCTACTACTTCCCTATAACACATTCATGCCAATCTGCTTCACAGTGTCAACTGACATTTGCCTGTAATTTCTCACAACCAACTCTCAAACATGGAGTATCAGTACTGTTCTACTACTTCCCTATAACACATTCATGCCAATCTGCTTTACAGTGTCAACTGACATTTGCCTGTAATTTCTCACAACCAGCCCTCAAACATGGAGTATCAGTACTGTTCTACTACTTCCCTATAACACATTCATGCCAATCTGCTTCACAGTGTCAACTGACATTTGCCTGTAATTTCTCACAACCAGCCCTCAAACATGGAGTATCAGTACTGTTCTACTACTTCCCTAAAACACATTCATGCCAATCTGCTTCACAGTGTCAGCTGACATTTGCCTGTAATTTCTCACAACCAACCCTCAAACATGGAGTATCAGTACTGTTCTACTACTTCCCTATAACACATTCATGCCAATCTGCTTCACAGTGTCAACTGACATTTGCCTGTAATTTCTCACAACCAACTCTCAAACATGGAGTATCAGTACTGTTCTACTACTTCCCTATAACACATTCATGCCAATCTGCTTCACAGTGTCAGCTGACATTTGCCTGTAATTTCTCACAACCAGCCCTCAAACATGGAGTATCAGTACTGTTCTACTACTTCCCTATAACACATTCATGCCAATCTACTTCTTCACAGTGTCAGCTGACATTTGCCTGTAATTTCTCACAACCAACCCTCAAACATGGAGTATCAGTACTGTTCTACTACTTCCCTATAACACATTCATGCCAATCTGCTTCACAGTGTCAACTGACATTTGCCTGTAATTTCTCACAACCAACTCTCAAACATGGAGTATCAGTACTGTTCTACTACTTCCTATAACACACATTCATGCCAATCTGCTTCACAGTGTCAGCTGACATTTGCCTGTAATTTCTCACAACCAACCCTCAAACATGGAGTATCAGTACTGTTCTACTACTTCCTATAACACATTCATGCCAATCTGCTTCACAGTGTCAGCTGACATTTGCCTGTAATTTCTCACAACCAGCCCTCAAACATGGAGTATCAGTACTGTTCTACTACTTCCCTATAACACATTCATGCCAATCTGCTTCACAGTGTCAGCTGACATTTGCCTGTAATTTCTCACAACCAACCCTCAAACATGGAGTATCAGTACTGTTCTACTACTTCCCTATAACACATTCATGCCAATCTGCTTCACAGTGTCAGCTGACATTTGCCTGTAATTTCTCACAACCAACCCTCAAACATGGAGTATCAGTACTGTTCTACTACTTCCCTATAACACATTCATGCCAATCTGCTTCACAGTGTCAACTGACATTTGCCTGTAATTTCTCACAACCAACCCTCAAACATGGAGTATCAGTACTGTTCTACTACTTCCTAAAACACATTCATGCCAATCTGCTTCACAGTGTCAGCTGACATTTGCCTGTAATTTCTCACAACCAGCCCTCAAACATGGAGTATCAGTACTGTTCTACTACTTCCTAAAACACATTCATGCCAATCTGCTTCACAGTGTCAGCTGACATTTGCCTGTAATTTCTCACAACCAACCCTCAAACATGGAGTATCAGTACTGTTCTACTACTTCCTATAACACATTCATGCCAATCTGCTTCACAGTGTCAGCTGACATTTGCCTGTAATTTCTCACAACCAACTCTCAAACATGGAGTATCAGTACTGTTCTACTACTTCCTATAAACACATTCATGCCAATCTGCTTCTACAGTGTCAGCTGACATTTGCCTGTAATTTCTCACAACCAACCCTCAAACATGGAGTATCAGTACTGTTCTACTACTTCCCTAAAACACATTCATGCCAATCTGCTTCACAGTGTCAGCTGACATTTGCCTGTAATTTCTCACAACCAACCCTCAAACATGGAGTATCAGTACTGTTCTACTACTTCCCTAAAACACATTCATGCCAATCTGCTTCTACAGTGTCAGCTGACATTTGCCTGTAATTTCTCACAACCAACCCTCAAACATGGAGTATCAGTACTGTTCTACTACTTCCCTATAACACATTCATGCCAATCTGCTTCACAGTGTCAACTGACATTTGCCTGTAATTTCTCACAACCAGCCCTCAAACATGGAGTATCAGTACTGTTCTACTACTTCCCTATTACAGATCCCTGAGCTGCATTATTTTCCCTTCTGCCTAACTGTTTCAGAAATATTAAAAAGCTAAATGAAACAAGTCTGGATTTCCCCAGGTTCTAAATCTCCCTTCTCACTGGGGCTCCTTTTCAGTTTAAAAGGAATTGTTTGTTTGTATAAAAAATTATATATATTCAGAAACTAAGCGTTAGACTACCAACTCCCAACAAATAGTATCAGTTTTGCTCTACTTTTTCCCTGTAACAGATTCATGCCAATCTGCTTCACAATGTTAACTGACATTTGCCTATAAATTCACACAACTAACCCCCAACATGGAGTACTAATACAACTCCCTGTCTGACTGACTGACTGACTGAGTTTGGTTTTACGCCGCTTTTAGTAATATTCCAGCAACATCGGCGGGACACCAGAAACTAACATTGTGCCCATGTGGGGATTGAATGGTCTACGGCGTGACGAGCCAACGCTTTAACCATTAGGCTACTCCACCGCCCCACAACTCCCTGTCAATCTGCTTCATGGTGCTAACCAAGATGTGCCTGTACTGTTATACAACCTACCCTCATCACTGCAGCAGGCGTGGAAGGCTGTCCACACAGAGCCTGAGAAGATCTCTTTGGGCAGCGGAAACTCATGGGTCAGGTACAACAGACTGCCCAGAAACAGGAACGCATGACGATAAATATTCTGTAGAAAGACACAAAATTCCATTGACACCAATGTGTGTAAAATTGAAAATTTTAACTATAAATTGTATATTTTTATACTTATTACATCTCACGACTGCACCTCTCTCTCTTGGTTCGACTCAAAGTGGAACAACTGTAAACATTTTCCCATAGACCTCCTTGTCCATTCGCCTGTGCACTCCATGCTGCTTTCCTTATTGGATTGCTTCCTCGTCCCCATTAAAGCGTGCAGCATGCTCCACTAACAGCCCACGTGACTACCTCTGAATCATTATACTCGTTCTTGGAGCCAATGTCGTAATCAGAGTAGTGGGAAGGCTGGGCGGGCATCCATTGCGTGAGACAGGATAAGTATATAAATATCAATCAATCTTTATTTTAGTACTTAAAAAGGCCACAGGCCTGTAGTACATTTAGAGTTTACATGAGTAGATAGAAGTCATTTATAAATTCTTATCTGTACAATACTTTTTCTTAAACTCATAGCAAAATAGATGTACATTGCCAGATTCTGTAATAGTGATGTGGTAGTATCTGTTAATAGTGAAATTAATGTTCTTACACTTGGATGCTTATAATTGTATGGCTTTAGGTAGTTAGTTCGTAGAGTCGTATAAACAGGACAGATTAGAAGGAAATGTACTTCATCCTCAACAGTGTTCATATTACATAATTGAAATATTCTGTTTTCTCTTTGTATACCTGCATACCTGCCAGTTTCAATAAATAATGCATGGGAAGAGCAATGAAAACGAGAGAAAGAGCGATACGAAACTTCTTTTACGTCGATTTTTGCGAAATTGTCTTCAAAATGTATGTCCATTGATCATAGTATAAACATTTTGTGGAAAGAAGTAATGATTCCGACCAAGATATACAATTTATAGTGAAAATTTTCAATTTCTGAAACTTATCCTATCTCAAGACTGCACTTACCCCACGGTTGGACGGCAGGTCGCAGATTACCCTGTGTCTGGACAGTACGAACAGCAAGCCGTGTGGACTGATGACAACCGTGAGATAGCGATGCACAAGGGAGGCCTGTTATGCATGGACACAACTCCTATAAGCTTGTGATAGGTTCTCCAGAACCTCTTGGCTTACTAAGCGCAATGTCTTCCAGGGAGATGAGTGCCCCGAGCGATGTGGTGTTCGGCCACGACCTTGTACTAGACAACGGATGCAACTCCCTACAAGTAGGCCTAGCCTTGCACAATCTTACAAGGTGCCCCCAAATCAAAGTCTTCAATTAGAATTGGGCCAGCCCAAGCAGACTATCTTTGCTGGTGGTCTGGTTTCTGTATTACCTTTGAAGAGCAGTAGAGCTGGAGGGGGAAATCCGTACACGCTTAGGTCTTCTCATGATATTGACAGCATGTTGAGGTCGCTTTTATTAGAGGATATGGAATTGGGGCCACAAAAATTGGTAGTTAATTGTTGAATCTTGTGGCGAACAGGTCTACTTTGGGGCCATGATAACGGGTAGATCATCGACTAGAAGATCTGAGGTAGCAGTTCCCATTCCTGGTTGGAGTGAGACAGGGCATTGCCCATTACATTCTTCACTCTGGGAATTGCAGCCTTGAATTCCCAGGTCGTTTATATGCAGAGCCTGTTCGCCGGATGACCACAGCCCGGCCGCTTGGTGGTAGAAAAGTGAGCATCCCAAAACATGAGGGATACATTGTCGAACAAATGATGAGACATTAGAGACTCCAGCACAGACGTTCCATTCGTCGGGCGCTTCACCACTGAAGGACTGGACGAATCAGTTCTTGAAGGCGAATCAGTCTACGAACAGATGATGAGTCGGAGAGAAGGGCATCATAGAGACTCCGTGCACACATTCTGTTTGTCGAGCCACCGGGTGAAGGACCAGACGAAGTCGAATCAACTCCAGCAGGGTTGTTGGTCTGAAGAAATGGTCGGAGGAACCGCTGTATCGGTCAAAGTTGTAGCTGGCCTCTGTAGGTTAGGGCTTGTGCCGACGTCAAGAGGGACCCAACAATTCCCGCCTCTGGCAAAGGGTTGTTGCTGAATTTTGGCCCACCTGTCTAGGGGAACAAACATCATTCGCTGATGGGTATCGAACACCGCGTCACCGAATTGGAGTCATTGAGTCAGCGTTAACTCCTATTTTGGTAACGTTCAACAGCCACCCTAACTACTGATCCAGCTTGGTGGCGGACTGGACTTGATGTAATAGTACGACTTCAGATCCTGCGGAGCTTGAATATAGTCGTCAATGTAACTTCGAATGTAATACCTTGCCGATGAAGGAAACTCGTGATTCAGCTTGGTAATATGGGTGAAAGTGCCACAGAGCCGTGGAAATTCCAATTGGCAGGACTCAAAGCGGAAGAATTTCCGATGCCCTTATTGGATTGGCATGTGAAAATAGGCGTCCTGTGGGTCAAGACTGATGAGCTTAGTCTCCACTCTTCAGAATGGAGCGAATTAGGACTGATCAGCACCATCCTGAAGTGGGGTGTTGGTTGCAGATACTGGGCACTGAATAGCCTCATGTTGAATATGAGCCGGAAGTTTTTGGAATGTATCTTTGGTACCAGAATAATAGGGAAGGAGAAGCCTGGAGTGACAGGCAACGGACCGAGAGGCTTGATTGCACATTTGTCTAGGAGCGCACCTATAGTCGAGCGCAGGGTCTGCAACTGGTCCAGAAGGTAGGTTCGATGAGGCAGGCAGGACGTCAGAAGGAGGCTTCCCATCGAGAAGCATCTGGTAGCCAGCTGTCAGAATAGCGATGTGCTGAATCGCTCAGTATGGTCCAGTTTGGGGCTTAAGGTACCTCAGTCTCCCGCCTACTAGGCTGTGGGGAGTTACCAGTCGTGCAAATATGTTCGCAAGTCCGAGCCTTCGGGTCGGCTTAGGAGTGGCAATGGAATGGTCCACCACGGTTCGATTTTCTACCCTTCCTCGACCTTGACCTTGGGGTCCACGAAAAAGGTCCTTCGACTCAGGGTTGGTAGGGGTGAAACCTGTACTGTTTCTGAACAAGTTCTTTGGGAGGTGAGTTTCTTGTAAGTTTAAGAGTTCAGCCACAGAGACCTGGAAATGGTTCTCCTTGGCCACCTTGGGTGCAGACTGATCATGCCACTAAACAGGGGAGTCAGATTACTCAAGAAGACCAAAGGTTGTTCCAATAGTTCCGCCCTCAAATCTTCATCCCAAGATGATAAATTGAGACGTACAGATAGAGGCATTGCCGAAAAATATGACAGCTGGTTGAGGATAATCTGGTCCAGAATAAGCGCCATACAACACCTGATGTAGGCATGCTCCAAAAAGCAGCAGGAACAGCATCGAGATAAGACAGTTGATCGACAGCAGAGTGCTGCACACTGCAGAGTCCATGTGAATCTAATTCTCTATCCTCAACAAAAACTGGTGAAGTTGAATGTTTACCACAGAGCGTGAAGACATCTTCATCCACTGGAGGAGCAGAGGGACAGAGTGGTGATATCATGAGTGTGAGCAGCAGCCGGAGGATATCTAAGCACTGAGAGCCCGTCCTTGAGGACTCTCGGGAAGTGAGGTAGATAACTGTAAGATGCACGGACGTGGACGTAGAGTGATAGTACGGCAAATCTCTATTCTTAACGGCATAAGAACAATACAGATCATCCGGGTGATCTGCTCATTGGGAGATGTAGTTTTTCAACAATCCAGGCTAAGACGCATTGACACAGTTCAACTAAATCTGCACAACAACCCTCCAGGGTAGATATGTCCGAATGTCCAGAAGACTGCCGAGAAGGGATGTCCCCATGAGATGAGACGGCTAGTCGAAGCAGCTGGAACAGATTGGTGAGAAACACGAAGTCTGACATTGATTCCTGGCAACCGTAATAGCACACAGCATTGTGTCCAAGTCCAGCGCTGATGTCGTGTGCTGGACTCCAAGATTCAGAAATCATGTGAGGGTTTAAACGAGGAAACGAGAGAGCACTGGGTTCGAAGATGGCTCAGGCCTAGAGGTGCTGGAAGAAATAGCAAGCCGACGCGTAGGTGAGCGGTGATCCTATGAGGAGGAAGAGAGAATCCTCAGTGAGTGCAAACGGTCTGACCAAGTGCAGTTGGGTGAATTGACACGCTGATGCAATCCAGCTGGAATTAATTCAGCCTGAGGAATCAATCAATAAGTCCGGTGGCATGATTTGGTTTGGCATGGAGAGAATTGGTTAGGCGATGATATCTGGTAACGGAAAGGCGAACTGGTTCATACAACCACAGCGATGAGATGGTGAATCGGTTCGACCATGGGAATAAATTCGGTGTGGTGAATCAGTTAGACTGTATGGATTGATTTGGTGTGGTGAATCGATTCGGCTGTGCGAAACAGATTGTTCTGGTGAATCGATTCGGCTGTGTAAATCGATCCTGTGTGCTGAATCAAATTCAACTGTGTGAAACGGTTCATTGTGGTGAATCGATTCGGCTGTGTGAATCGTTTCGCATTCGGCTTGAAGAATCAGTGTGTAGGGGTGAATCAGTTTGAAGTGGTTATTAAGTTCGGTGGGTGGTGAATCAGAATGGCGATGGGAACTGGTTCTGCCAGCAAAACTGGAAAGTCGGGATGATAACTCACTGGCGCGTGAGAGATGGATCGCCAGATGACCGAGATGGCGCAGGAAATCTACTACAGAGATGCGAACCAGTTCGGGAATGCGATCTGGAACAGCTGAATGAATGTGAGCGGCCTGGTGAGTTAGAACGGTGTTTGAGTCGTGAAACACTGGAACGAGTAGGTGAACCTGAGCGCATGGTAAGCTCCAGACTGGAAGAGGCGTGCGTTAGCTCCTTCCGATTTGGTGATGGGGAGGCTGACACACGTTTCCCTGAATGAGACTGGCCAGGTTCCACTGATCACTGAGGTGGAATCGAAGATCTGGATGCTGATAGTGTAGAGCGCAGATCCTGTGTAGTAGTAGACATTGTGGGGGATGTTCTACCACCACAACCCTTGAATGGATTGAT